CTGTTTGTTGGGCCCCTCTTGTGAGGTTTACAGGAGTGTCCACATTAGCCCCCACAACCAAATGAAGGTACTACTGCAGATGACGAACTGAGCTCAAGGACTTTAACAGCTCATCCTAGGTCACTCTGCTTGTAATGGCACGGCCAGCAATGAAAGCCCAGGATGGTTTATTCTGAAGCCCCACTGCCCAAGTAACAGCAGAACTGGAAATCAAATTATTCTCTTGCAATTTTCTTTCCTGGGTCAAACCGGGCTTGAATTATGCAGGACACTTCCGACTTTATCACACTAGAAAACTTGCAACCATGATGGTGTCTGCCATGGGACTTTAGTAGCAGAAAGGAAGACAGTATGAGATCACCACTAACTCATTCAGTTTTGCTCTGTTTGTAGGGCTGGGGATGCTAAACAAATGCTCTACCACTGAGCCACACTCCAGCCCCCAACTTTTTTTAATTAGGTAAAGTGGATAAATCAATGTGTCTGGATATTTGCTTAATATGAAAATGACTAGCCTGACAACAATAAAAATCCTTTGGCTCCCAGGGCTTAAGCAAATTGAAAGGGGGTATTTGAAGGGTCGCTTCAGAAAAAAACTGGCTAACACCTTTGAAGGGCTACTTTATAAAATGAGGGACATAGAGCCTCGCTAAGTGGAAATAGCCAAATCCAGTGGAGGTAGATGTCTACATGAGCTCTCCTCCTCTGTCCTGAGACTAAAGCTGTCATTTTAATAATCCATCTGGTAACATGCAAGTCTACTCAGTGCTATTATAGGCATAAATATTTTTTATTTGCATTAGAAAGGCAACAATTACCTCATGTTAAAATGTGATTAAGAAGTAAATGTGTTATTTTGCTTAATCTTACAAGATAAATGTTGTATTAATAAAAATAAAAACTATTTTTTAAATATTTTTTAGTTGTCAGTAGATCTTTTATTTATTTATCTATCTATATGTGGTACTGAGGATTGAACCCAGGGCCTCACACATGCTAGGCAAGTGCTCTACCACTGATCCACGATTCTGGCCGAAGAATAAAAGCTATTTTTAACTAAACCACATGTCAATGTTGTAAAAGTCTACCACAACATTCCTTACACAATAACAACCTAGAGGCCATTTAGCAAGTAGACTGGTGATTGTACATTGAAGTTAAAAATCACCAATTTATAACAAAGCATTAGAAGCGACTTAGAAAAAAATGAGTTTCACACTGAAAGAACAAAATCTGAAGATGTGCAGTCAAGTCAGAAAGGAACTCAGAAATGGGGATAATGTGTCTCCCAATGAAGTAAAAGGTGTGTTCATGTGGTTAATAGTTTTCTCTTATATACTAAGAAGAGATAATTTTAAAAAGGAAAATGGGACATCTTTATAAGATTCACAGAAGGTATGAAATGGGGCAAGGACAAACAGGCAAGTGAGGCTAGAGGCTGGAGGGGGGATCGGTGGCAGGCAGGCAGGAAGGCTTGTGATAGGGTTTAAAGTAGTCATTGTGAAGTGCAGGGCACAGTGGAAGAAGGGCCTATTGTGACTCTGCACAAGCCTTGGTGCCCTCAACAGTGGGTGTGTGCTCCATTTATTCAAAGGGCACCTGGAAGGGGATGTTGGCTGGAGGTGAGATCTGGGCTCCGACCCAACCTCAGCCACTAAGCAACTAGGTGGGGCTCTGGCATTGTACTGAAAGTTCTATCAACCAAAACAAAAAACATTGAAGAGCATGCCACCTCTCTTTGAAATACACTATTTGCTACGGGTTGTCCCCGAAGGATTCACATGTTGGAGACTTGGTCCTCAATGTGGTGGTGCTGAGGTGGTGGGATCTTTAGAGGTGGGGCCTGATGAGAAGTCCTTAGGTCAAGGGGAGCTACCTCGGAAGAGATTAAGGTAGTTACCATGTGAGACACCTTAATTCTCAGAGAAGATTGTTATACAGCCTAGCTCCACTCTGGCTTCCTGCCTAGTCACAGGAGGTTCCCTCTTGTACATACTCCTGCCATTGTGAGACCATCCACTAGGATAGGCTGCCTTCACCAGCACCAAGCAGATGCCAGCACCATGCTCTTGAACCTCCAGAATTGTGAGCAAAATAAGACTCTATAAAGTTACCCAGCCTCGGGCATTTTGTTTTAATAATGGGAAAACTTAAGAGTCAACACTCTGATTACAGTTTTCAACTAGTTATACACACAGTTCATGTTAATCCATTCAAGTCACAAGGCTGGTATCAAATTGAATTGTCGGCTTGATTCGATTAAGAGGATTGCTGGTGTGTCTGTGAGGGTGTGTCTAGGAATGATTGGCATGTGGGATAGCAAACTGAAATGGAAACCCTCCCTAAACATGCGCAGCACCATCCAATAGGATGATGGCTGGAAAGGAATAAAAGTTGGAAGAACAAGGGGGCTGGGATTGTGACTCAGTGGCAGAGCACTTGCCTAGCATGTTCAAGGCCCTAGGTTCAATCCTCAGAACCACATAAAAAATTAAAATAAAAAATAAATAAAATAAAGGTATTGTGTCCAACTACAATAAAAAATAAGTATTAAAAAAAAAAAGTTGGAAAAACAAGAAAGCAGCAGAAGCAAGCTGGATTCTTCTTGAGCCAGTTCTTGGTTGCTGCTGTGATCCTCTGAGGATATCAGATTCTCGTTTCTTCACTCTTCCAAAGCAGACTGTGACAGTAATTCTCCAGAAGACTTTGGTCTCAGACTGGGGTAGTACCATTGATCCCTCTTATACTGGGGCTTCAGCCTCTTGCACGGTGCAGCTACTGGGTTCTTCCAGCTCTCCACCTGCGGACAGCCATTGTGGACTATCCAACTTCTGGTCACATGAGCCAACCTAATATATCCCCTTTTTATAATTATACTTCCTGTTGATTCTGTTCCTCTAGAGAACTCTAATACAGCCTGGTATAAAAGATTTGTCAAAATGTAGAAATATAAATGAGGCACAATGGTACAACCCTGTAAGTCCCTGCTATTCGGGAGGCTGAGGCATGAAGATCATAAGTTCAAGGGCAGTCTGGGCAACTGAGTGAGACTCTATTTCAAAATAAAATTTAAAAAAAAAAAAGGTTGGAGATGCAGTTTAGTGGTAGAATGCACTTAGGTTCAATTCACAGTACCATCCCTCCTATATTTAAAAAAAAAAAAAAATGCCCAAAATCTAGCTATTCACAATCTAATACAGATCTCTGGCTGGATATTGCTCTCCACATTTATCCTTCTAAGAACAAAACATCTGCCAATATCAATGCTTTGGATTTCTTGGGGGAAGTAAATATATTAGCTATGAATAAATCTGGCTTTATTAAATAACCAACATAGGTACCACTTTTTTTTTTTAACCCTTTTATAGTAAACCCCATGTCCAGGGGGAATAGGTTCCAGGATCCTCTGGCAGACATCAAAATCCTTAGATGATGAAGTCCCCTACATAAAATGGCATGCTGTTTGCATATGACCTATTCACATCCTCCCATATATCTCATTTACTTTTGGGGAAGCTCCCCCTAAGTTGCCCAGACTGTGCTCTAAATGGCTAGGTCCTTCATCCTTCTGTCTCAGCATCCAAGTACCAGGGCCTGGCCAGTGCCCACGGTTAATGCTATGTAAATGGTCCTAGTATTTAAGAGAACAATGAGGGGAACGTTTGTGCATGTCCTTTACAATTTTTTTTTTCCCCCTGAATAGTTTGGATCTGTGTTAGCTGAATCCACAGGGAAGGAACCATGATCAGGGCGCGTGGGCTGTAAATGCAATCTCTTCTCGGCTTAAGCAGAGCTAAACAAGGGGTCCCTGGAACACCCTGGAGGTATGCAGAGCCCCGTTTTCTCCAGGCCTGTTGACAGCGTCCTTAGACTCTCCATACCCTCACCCAAAGGGTCGAGAACCCCGGCGCTGGGATGGGGATGGGAGCGGGGGGTACAGCGCTTGCCTGGCACTGTTACCGCTGTTGGCCGGTGACCAGTCCTTGCTTCCCCAATGTTGAAGAATAACACCAGAGAAACACATGGAGGCTAGGTCAGAGTAGAAATTAGAAGTTTATTAAAGGACAGCAGAAAAGACTTCTCCGGAAGAAGAAGGGGACCCAAGAGGTGGAATCCGTGGAAGTGCGGTTGTTTCCCCTTTTTATAGTTCTTTCAGTGATGGAATGTAGGCTGGAAGGCCTGAGGGGTGGGACACAGGTGGGCCAAAGAAGTAATCTGGGCAGGAAGGACTTCATTAACATTTCTTTGGGATGGGCTAACTTCAAATCTGCTGGGGCTGTTCCTTAACATTTCTTCGGTATGGACTTTGGGCCTAGGGCTTTTCTCAGGGACTATATTGACATTCCATGAGCTGTCCTGCCTTTCCCGGAATTTATTCAATGTGGCCTCCATTTCAGATCTTACTCCATATTAGGCCCGATTTACCTAACTACACTGACTACCTAACTTTAAATCTGGCTTCAGCACCGCATATAAGTAAGCCAATAAAAGTCCATCAACAACTAAAAATAGACATTAAAAAAAACACACACAGCTCTAAAAAGCGCTCCTTTCCGACAGCTTGCCACGGCTAGTGAAGGGCTCTCACCTCCGGAGCCCTGGGGGGACCCGGCGCCCCGCAGGCGGGCTCCTCTCCCCGCAGCCCCCGACGCGAAGACGTCACAAAGGCCCCACCTCCTCCCCGCGGGGGCGGCGGGGGCAGGTGGGACACCGCGAGGCTCACCGCGACGGGGGCCCCACCATGCCCTCCAGGGCTCCTGGCCCGGCACCAGCCCTCCGAAGATTCAGCAGCGACTTCCGCGCGAACCGACCTCAACTCGAAGGCGGCCCACACGTCACCCGTGCGCGTGAGCTGCGGCTGCGGCGGCGGCCGCCCACCTCGCCGCAGCGGCCCAAGGCGTGTGCGCATGCGTGCGACGGGCGCGCTCCTCCCGGCGACCGTTTCTAAAGCGCTGGACGCATGCGCCGCGCGACGCCCTGCGGCCTGGGGAAGGAGGTGCTTCTGCCCCCACTCGGACGCGCTTGCGCAGTGCCCGGACGCGGGCGTTTCTCCTTTTTCTTCGAATCCGGTTTGAGGGGTAGATTCGAGTTACAAAATGGCGGCCTAGAGTGCGCTCCCCGCCGTTTCCCTGGTGGTCTCTGGCTTAGTGGATGTCTCCGCGTCTCGGTGCCGAGCTCACAGACACGCGGCCCCCGGGGGACATGGTGTTGGAGACTCCGGGCTTGCTGGCCACCAAGTCCTCCGAGGCTCTCAGCGCACCGGAAGCGGCCCGCCGCCGCCTGGGCCCCGAGCGCAGCCATCGCCACCGCGTCCCTGCTCGCCGCCGCGCCCACGAGCCAGCGAGAGCTGCGGCGGCCGCCGGAGAGGTGCGGGACAGGTGGAGGGCGGCGGGGACGTCCGAGACCGGCCGGGGGCGGAAGGAACAGGCGGGGCCGGGACGGGGACGTGCGGGGCCGGGGCCGGCGGGGCGCCGGACGCGGCGGGGCGTTTGTGAAGCGGCGGCGCAGCTCGGGCGGGCGCGCCCCGGGCCTGCGGCGGGCGGGCGGCGGCCTCCCTCAGGCGCGTCCTCGCCGTGCCCCGCGCTTCCCGCCGTCGCCCGGCCTCCGAGCAGCGGCGTGGGGATGCGGGTCTTCCGCGGCGTCGCCGGCGGCCCCCTCCCTCGTCCTCCAGCAGGTGCCTCCCCGTCCGGGTCAGATCTCTTCTCGGAGGCGCCACTGCAGGCGTCCTCCCGGGGCCGAGGCGCCCCCTGTCACCCGGACTTTCGGGTTCCCAGCACCGGGCGTCGTCGCGGAGGTCTGCCGCCGCACCCCGGGCACCCCGGCCGGCCTGTGTGCCCCGTAACCGCAGCCGAGGACCCTGGGCGCCTGGCCTTGCTCCATTGCACACAGGTGTATCAGTCCCCTCTCTGTGTCTAAAAAGGGCAGCCTTATCTCGTGACATGCTTTGGAATAACATACGAACTTGGTAAAAAATGGTTTTTAAAGTCCGGCGCATATTGGAACTGTCTTTTTCTACACTACGACTTTTAAGTTTTGGAAAAAAAAATAGCCTCTGTTTCTAAGAAAACTTTTTTCTTCGATTATACTTATAAAGCTCTTTCTTTGTTCCAGGCACTGTTGTAACTAAGCTCTTTATCTCATTTAATGTTCCTAATGAACTCTTCCCTGCCCTGCAGATAAAGAAACTGAGGCAGAAAAATTAATTACTCAAGATCTCACAGCTAGAAAATGGCAAAACCAGATGCCAGCCTCTTGGGTTTTCTCATATATGTAGTGCCCAAGATCACTGATTCAACAACAGATAGAACCTCTAGGAGCTGAACAGCTTGGGGCATTTGGAGAACTTCAGTAGGCAAAACTAACCTCCCTGCTTTCTGGTTATGCTGACTTGATATGTGTGTTCGAAAATGAAAGCTACTACATTAATTTAGCTTGTTTTACTCTGCCAGTTATCTCTAAAGGTATAGGTGTGAGTTAGATATTAAACTTACCTCCCGCCCCCCAATACTGGGTATTGAATCCTGGGATCTACTACCACTGAAACCTACTACAAGCCCCCACCCCATCCCCCACCCCTTTTTTTTCTAATTCAAGACAGGGTCTTGCTAACTGTAACTTGCAGGACTGGCCTGAACTTGAGATCCTCCTGCCTCAACTTTCCTAGTCACTGGGATTGTACACCACCACCCTTGCACCCAGCAAAATTTTCTTACTACCTTTTTTTCCTTTTTCAACTCCACCCCTTTTGCTCCATAGTTAAATCTTTGATAACATTATCACTCCAACCTCTCACCTCTTTCGCCCTCTGGTGGCGAAGTTAATGAATAGCCCGAAGAATCCAGAGACAGTCTGAATAGTTCAGTAAGGAATTTTATCTATTCCTCTATTTGTTTTTGTTTCTGTGAAAAAATCAATAGCAGAAATTGACCAAGTGTTTTTGGGGAGGCGTTAAGAAGAGAAGACTCTCAGGTGATGCTGGAAACTATGCTAAATCTCATACTTTATATTTTAAAATCTTGGACTTAAATCATTCCATAATTAGAAAAAAAGAACATACTTGTAAGAGAGATTTCAAAGACTATTAAAGATTTACTAAAAGCTGAAAGCCCTTAGACATTAGATTTTGGAAGACTTTGGAATATCAACATCTGAATTTTGTTCTATAGCAGTAGGTGATCTATGAATTTGTGTCTTAATGACTTGGATATTTTGGGAAGCTTAATCTCGTAGGTTGTGGTATTGAGCACAAACTCAGGAAGGAATTCAGGTAAGTTTAGTCAGCCCTGGAGGGTACTAAGAATTAAATGGGAAGGTTTTTTTGGTCTATTTGGCTGGTGAATTAGTAAAGAAACCAGTCTACCCCCAAACAAAGCTCTCAGTTCTAGTTTTTTGTTTTGTTTTTTCTTTTGTTGTTGCTGTTGCTTCTTAAACAGCAATGTATGTGATGTTAGGACAGGAAATAATTGCAAATTTAAAGGGATGGACACAAGCACACTCTGTGGATAGGAATCCACTGCTGAAGTAATGCTGTCAGTTAAGCTGATGATCTGTTTTTGAAGCACTACACATTCTCAGAATGTTGGTGCATCCATATTGAATCAGTTTCTACTGGCATCACTAATGTTTTTGTTTCTTACTAGAGTGAATTTTTAAAATTCTTAATTTTTATAGTTCTTTGTGAAAGCCATATCTTGATCTAGAAAGGTTACATTTTTTTTCTCTGTTTTCTGTGATTTAGATTCGAAAAAATGGCCAAAAGAATTGCCGAGAAGGAATTGACAGATAGAAACTGGGACCAAGAAGATGAAGCTGAAGAGGTAAAAAAAAAAAAAAAAGTTCCCCCCAAAATGATTTCTTATTGTACCTACATTTAGTTCATTTTGGGGTTCCTCCTGAAGAATTGTGGTAGAATTAAGTCAGACATTTTAAGAACATCCCAAATGGGTGGTACTGTGGTTTCTTGTGACTTGTGTGCTTTTCCACTAGTGCCTGCTCCTAAAATATTCTTTGGAAAAGCACCTTCCCCCTGAATTTCATATACTTGGCAGCATTCTAAACCCATGATTTTGAATAAGTCATTTTAGTCATGACTGAAGAATGACTTAAGTGATCTGGTCATGAGGCTAGCTCAGTGCTGGCACTCAGGTCGGAAACGCATCACCATCTCAGGCTGCTGTCCCTGTCACTTTAGATTTCAGAAGTTGAGGTTGTTTGCCTTACTCAAATTCTTCTCGTTCCTATTCTGATGGTAGAGCTGATACCCCCAGCAGTTGCATTATTAGTAATAGAATTCCTAGTCTGTAGTTTCTTTAGAAGCAAAATGAAAATCGTCTTCCCTGAATAAATCTCACCATGTAATTTAAATCTCACCATGTAATTGCATTTCTAGTGTCTCACCAGCAGTTGATACTGCTAGGCCAGTTCACTCAGGACATCTGTAGCCAAGTTTTTAGCCTTTCAAATTTATAACATAGTCTAAGAAAGAAAAAGAAAAAAGATAAAAGAATTTTACAGGAGTATTTCTAAGCTTATTCTTTGACTAATATCTTCCTTTCTGAATCAATCTTTCTGTTACTTTTTTATTTTCCTTTAGAAGTAGATATACTTTACTTTAAAAAAAATTTTTATTTGGTTTTGGGGAACCAAAATCACAGTGTGTTAATGTTTTCACAGGACCTTTAACTCAAGGTTTTTCTGTGTGTGTTTTTGGTGTGGTTTGTTTTGTTTCTGGTACTTGGTTTGAACCCACGACCTCATGTGTGCTAAGCTAGTGCTCTACCATTGAGCTACATTGCCAGCCCCTTTTTTAGAATTTTATTTTGAAACAGGGTCTTGCTAAGTTGCTTAGACTGGCCTTACACTTGTGCTTCTCTTGTCTCGGCCTCCCCAGTAGTTTGTATTACAGGTGGTGACACCATGCCTGGCTGACTTGGAATTGAGTCTTTTTCTTTTTTTCTTTGATGCTGGGGAGTGAATCCAGGGGTGCTTAACCACCGAGCCACATCCCCAGCCCTTTGTTGTATTTTATTTAGAGACAGGGTCTCACTGAGTTGCTTAGGGCTTTACTAAGTTGCTGAGGCTGGTTTTGAACTCTGATCCTCCTGCCTCAGCCTCCTGAGCTGTTGAGATTACAGTTTGTGCCACTGCCCCCAGCAAAACTCTTTTTTTTTTTTTTTTTTTTTAAGAAGTGGACACAGGGCTGGGGTTGTGGTTCAGTGGTAGAGTGCTAGCCTAGCACGTGCGAGGCACTGGGTTCAATCCTCGGCACCACATAAAAATAAATAAAAAATAAAGGTATTGTGTTCAACTACATCTAAAAAAAATATTTAAAAGAAGAAGATGGACACAATACCTTTATTTTAATTTTATTTTATTTATGTGGTGCTAAGGATCAAACCCAGTGCCTCACACGTTAAGCAAACGCTCTACCACTGAACTATGACTCCAGCTACCAGTGAATCCTTTGTTACGGATTTTTTTTTTCCTCAGGTCTAAGCACAAATACATTCAGGGCTATAGTAAAATCTAGACTACCGTATAATGATTTTCTTTGGCATTAAAATATTCAGGAATGAAAAAAGTCCCACTTGGACAGGTTCTAATGACATGAGTATGGAAGGATTGCATTAATTACATTTAATTGGGACAAGTGTGTCCAAATGATCCCTTGTGTAGGTGTAAGAATGAATACCTTTAAGTTTTATATGATCTGCAGTAATTATAAATGAGATTTCTTTATAAGAAGTATTTTGCTCTAGCCCTACAGGATAAAAGAAGAGTTGAAGTTAAGACAAAGATCATTAGCAAACTTCAGTTTGCAGACATAGGACTTTTAGCATGTTATGGAAGGGCAGTAGTCAGAGTAGAGTGCTGGGAGCCTCCATCGCCTTTTGGTGGGCAAGTTGGGCAGGATTTTCTTTTTCTCGGTCCTGGAGGTAGAGTCTAGAGATGCTCTACCACTGAGCTACATCCCCAGCCCTTCACCCTGTGTGTGAGAGAGAGAGAGAGACAGTGTCTTGCTAGTTGCCCAGGCTGGCCTTGAACCTGTGACCCTCCAGCCAGGACTCTTTTCTTAAAAATCATGTGTATGTGGGCTTTGGGGTATAGCTCAGTGATAGAGTGCCTGTTTAGCATGCACAAAGCCCTGATTTCAGTCACCAGCACTGCAACAAAAGGGGCAGGGGTGTTATAAATAAAATTTATTTTTAAAAACTGTATTAGAGTAGATACAGGCATCTGGGTTTCACAGTGGGTTGCCCCATCAGCTATTCATGATCTTTAAGATACTTTTCTGTTTTTAAATGATAGCTTATATTTTTTAAAGAAACCTTTAATTTTTTTTCTAAACTTTTGTTGAGCCACAGTTTAGTCGGAATGATGCCTGGCATTTTGCTAGAGGGAATGGTTGAAAGGTGACCCTCCTCCGGGAATAGGGCGGCTCCGGGATTAGGGTGGATCCTGCTGCCTTGGGCGCCTGCTACTTTGGAGTTCCCGTTGAGTTCTCGTTCTGGGAGAAGTTGAGAATTGGCCGAGGAGCCCGGTGGAGGGAGTGTATTCCCGGGAAGTGTGTGTAGAGTGCCGGTGAGAGTTCGGGAATAAAGAGTTGCTGTTTGAACCTACAAGGCTGTGTGGCGGCTCGGTTATTTTGTGCCCAGACAGACTGCGGCATTTATTAATAGTATCCAGTATATATCCAAAAATTTGAAGAATTGGCACCAAAGTTTTGATGGTCTTATCTTTTCAAAAACTGTTGTGTATACTCCTCTCTTTGAATTGGAATTTGAAGTTTGGATTTGTATATTGTAGAAGGTAGATGGTTTGCTTAGCTAGAAGTGGAATCCACAAGAAAAAAAATTTATATTTATATAAATATATATATATATTTATATATATATACACACACACACACACTATTTTCTGTTAATTGTTAATCATATTAGTCGTATAAATTAATGGGTTTCACTTTGACATTTCCCAAATGCATATAGCATGCTTTGATGATATCCACCTGCCCTCTCTTGCCCATCCACACCTTCCCCTTTGCTTTCCCCAACCCTTCTCCTTCCCTAACACTCCATCTTCTGCTTTAGGTAGATGTAAGCCATTTCTGTTAACAAGCCCTCTCCATAGTATTAACGTTAACAGTATTTTAAAGCCATATTAGGTAAATTTGTCTCCGCTTGCTGTTTTGTTCAGCATTTTACCTCCTTTTGTCCTTAATCTTTCTGTGTTTAATTCGTATGCCCTGCAGGTGGGAACATTCTCAGTGGCCAGTGAGGAAGTCTTGAAGAATAGAGCCATAAAGAAAGCAAAGCGGAGAAATGTTGGGTCTGAAGTAAGTGCCTTCTTAGTGGCTTTGCTACTGAATACTGACTCTTTCTGAATACAGACCTTTTCTTCCTTTGGGAACAATCACAGCAACAAATGCTTTTTTTAAAAAATGCTTACTCCTTTGTGTAGCTCATGGGAGAGAGAAGAAAGTAATCAATGTCACATCCATGTCTTAAAGGAAGCGTGTCTGTTTGAGGAAGTAAGATGAGAGGGGCAAATGCAAGCCCAGTGACACCGTGAGAGTAAAAGCCAGTGTAGGAGTTCATAGGCTGGAGATGTGGTATGGTGGGATAAGAAGGGGACTTGAAGAGGTGTCTTCAAGTCTTCACCTACTCCTGGGACCAAATTATAGGGAGTAGTTCCTTCACTATGCGAGAAATGTGTCAGTTTTCTTTCTAGTTTAGTATATTAAGATATTTCGTTCTTGTGCTCGGAAAGATAAAAGATGAGGACTGGGGGTGTAACTCAGTGGTAGGGCACTTGCCTAGTGAGGCCCTGGGTTGGATCCTTAGCAGTGCAGAAAAAGAAGAGTTGTAACTCCTGAATTGGAATCATGTGGTCAGTATTCAGCAGTCACCCCACCTTTCAGAACTCCTCCCCCGTATAGTCCTCACCCTTGACACTCCAGACCCACAAGTGTGGTTTTGGTAATCTTGGATATCTATTGTCAGGCAGGAGAAACAGCTTTAGGCATCTTGCATGGCAGCTTTGGAATAAACCTCCTTAGCCACACATTCTGCATTTCTCAAGTTTCAATCCCAAAGGAACTGTATTCTTATATTTTTCTTTTTTAATTGTTGATAGACCTTTATTTTATTTTTTATTTACTTATTTATTTATATATGATGCTAAGAATCAAACCCAGTGCCTCACACATGCCAGGTAAGTGTGCTACTGCTCAGCCCCAGCCCCTCCCTTTCTCTTCTCACCTTGAGAAACAATAAAATGGAATCCTTATTATAGAAATAGTAGGTAGACATGGTGGCACATACTTGTAGTCCCAGCTCCTCAGAGGCAGGTAGGAGAATCACCTGAGCCCAAAAGTTTAAGGCCAGCATGGGCAACACAGCGAGACCACAAAATACAAAAACAAAAAAAGAAAATTTATTATTTTTGAAGGTTTTCATCATAGGTTTTAAGTTCGAAAATGTATAAAGGAAGGAAGAAGGAGGTGGGCAGACAGAGGCTTTGGGAAGGCAATTAGTAAGAAATTTACAGCTAGAGTTACGTAGTGAATCAGTGTTGCATAAATGATGGTGTGTGTTAAGGGGAAAACAGTTTTTAAAAACGTCTTTACCTAGAATATATGCACCGTGTAATTCAGGGCGGACAAATGCAATCATAAAGCAAACTGATTCTCAGGTGGTTCTGTATGGTCGCTTGTACACATGTAGAATGTAGTGATGATAAGTACCCGTTCTCTGCTCCATGGCTGCTCTAGAGGACCTCATTTCCTGGAGCTGTAAAAGCTCTTTGACATGGAACCTGAGGTTGTCTAGGGTAGTGCTGCCCAAAAGGAGACAGGGAACAAGTCTTAGTGAAGGAAGGGATGACATGCAGACTTCTTCAGAACGCACCTAGCAGTCAGGTCTTGTATTTTGTTGTTTTTGGTACCAGGGATTGGACCCAGGTGCATTTGATTTATAATCCTGCTGTTTCACCCTCCCAAAGCGCTGGGATTACAGGCATGCACCACTACGGCCAGTAGGACTTCTATTTTTAAAATAATTTCAGCTTGAAGATTTTTATTTTTTACAATTAACAAATGTGGTGCAGCGTGAATTTTTTTTTAAATATCTTTATTTTGTTTATTTTTTATGTGGTACTGAGGATTGAACTCAGTGCCTCACATGTGCAAGGCAAGTCCTCTGCCACTGAGCCACAACCCCAGCATAATGTTTTGAATTAGTATTCATTGTGGAATGGCTAAGTGAGTTGACTAGCTTGTATTATCACACTTTTTTTTTGTAGTTGTAGATGGATAGCATGACTCTATTTTGTTTATTGTTTTATGTGGTGCTAAGGCTCGAACCCAGTGCCTCACACATGCTAGGCAAGCACTCTGCCACTGAGCTACAGCTCCAGCCCTTATTTATTTTTTTAAATTTGGTAAGAACACTTAAAGCTCAGCACATTAACTCTACTAAGTATATGTCTTGAGTTTAGTTGTTATTATTTTAATTCCAGGGTTTTGTTTTTTCCTGGTCTGATTTCATTATTACCTTAAGACTGGTGACTGGTTGGCAGTTGTGGTATGGAGCTGAGTGATGTTGGTAGTTCTCTCACTGAGAAGATGCAAGGAAAGATGGAATAATTTAATTAAGGATGAGACAGTTCAGTTTGCAAATGTGGCATTTGAAAATCCTGTTAAGTTCTCTCCAAGACACTGGATATAGAACAGGAATTAGGGCAGGTGAGAGGTGGATGGGGTGCTGGGAGTTCTCACCACACAGATGGCGGAGACACCACCAGAGTGGACGAAGAGGCAGTCAGAAGGAGCCCATAGTGAGGAGTGGGCAGCAGCAGGTCAGCAGAAGGAGAATCCCGGGGAGGGTGTTCTGTCGTGAGCCCTGGAACTGGGAAGGGACAGAAATATACGTGGATAATTGAAATCCAAATTTAATTTGGGTTATAACTTTTAGCCTCTAGTTTTCATGAAACTTGGATATTTGAAAAATAATGTCATATCATTTGCTATAAGCACAAATGTGGCTTTTCCCAACTAGTGGATTTGCCTATTAAACAGATCTTAGCACTGGAGATCTATGGATAATAAAATAATCCAGAATATCTCTGTTTTGTTGAATTTAACTTCTAAATTAAGTTTAAGGGTCTATATTTTTTCCTCCATATGAATCCTAAAGAAAAATCGGGGAGATTGGGGAATATCATAATGTTTCAGGGCCCAAGGAGCCAAACTGAGTACATCCCAGTCAGTTCTTTTTCTCACTCTTCTGAAGGTCTGTCTTATGTGTCTCTCCTTTTTTTTTAATAGTGGTTTTTGTTGGTTTGGGGGGTTATTTTAGAGCTAATTTACTATTGCTAGATTACAGTAATTTCTAAAATAGCTGTAAACATCTTGTAACTTTAAATCTAGTGTGTTTCAGTGGTCAGTAAACATCTGGAATTTTGTAGAGTTGATTGACACCTGTGTTTTTAGAAATATATGCAGTAGTATTCAGGCTCACTGGCCCATCTAGACAGTGAAGAGGTCTGGTCTGAGGTGATTTTTTGATGAGATGGTGGTTGATACATTTATGTGTGTACTCTTTGGGGGAGAAGCAGATTGTTCCCTATGGTGTCACCACTATTTTAAATGGATGAAAGATTTATAAAAAAAAATTATAGCCAGTTTAGCAAAACACTGTAAACTGAGAAACTGTTCTCCAGAAGCCCCCCAGGGACAGAAAGCAGCTTTAGAATTTCCTAATGAATGCCAAACATTTCCAGAGCCTCTATGATTAGAGATATGAGCAAGCTAGCACAAGGGGAGAGGCTGCTAGAAAGGTCTTGTCAAAGACGTCATACTTAAGAAAGCAGCAAGAAAAATGCCCTGGGATTGCTCAATTACTGGGAAATCTCTGTTTGAAATATGACCATTTTCTGAAGCTCTCTAGGCTGAGAACAACTGGAAAACAACAAAAGTTCCTAGGAAATGAGATAAATGGTAAAATACCTTTAGTTAACCTAATGGGATGTTTCTAAAACTTCCTTAGGTAAGTTGCCTTTGGAAGGTACATGAAGGATCTTTCCTTCAGATTCAGTTGTATTGGGTGTGTGTTCAGTTACCATTCTGAAGCTGGATGGGAGGTACGTGGATTTATTGCATTGATCTCTATTAACCTTTTATGTCTATGTATGCACAAGACATTTTTAAAAATATAACTGATTGTAAATGGTGCCTGCCTGAAGGTGCCAGCTTTGGATCGCCAGGCCTTCAAATGCAGTCTTTCCATGCAGTGCTGGTTGCGCCGCCAGTTTTTCGTGCAGTACGGATTACCTGTGGAAACTGGGTGCTCAGCAGTCAAGAGGATATTGTCACTTCCTTGCTTATTTGCAGATAGGAAAGGCCCTTTCCTAACTAACATGTGTTCTCTGCTCATATTGCAGTCTGACAGTGGAGGAGCCTTCAAAGGTTTTAAAGGCTTGGTTGTGCCTTCTGGAGGTGGAGGGTTTTCTGGATTTGGTAGTAGCCCTGGAGGGAAGCCTCTGGAAGGACTATCTAATGGAAACAGCACTAGTGCCCCTCCCTGCACTGGTGCAAGGGCAGCAGCAGAGCCTAAGGCAACCTTTGGTAAGTAGCCCCCCTCCTCAGCCACCTCATATGAATGGAATCTAGGAGAAATAACTTTGTAAAGAAGTTTCTCTTGTACAAACCCTCAGTCCTCAGTCTGTAAGCAGAAACAACAATAATGTCAGGGATGGAACTTTGGGGAGATATTGGCTATGTATATACAGTAGGCAGATAAGCAGAGCACAAGTTTTCAAGCCAAAACAGATCTGGATTCTGAGCTCAGTTCTGCCAGTTATGAACTATATGATCTTGGCAAAGTTCCTTAACCTCTGACCTTCAGAATTGACCTAAGAGAGCTGAGGTTGTAGCTCAGTGGTAGAGCACTTGCTTAGCATGGCTGAGGCACCCTGGATTCCATCCCCAATGCAGCAAAATAAAAAAATGAGGTGAAAAGGAAAAATACTTCATAGACCCTTTATGAAGGTTTGCCTGCTTGTCCATTAATTCATTATGGACATGTGTACCAAGGGTTATGTGTGCTTCTTACCACGATGGTCACTGGGAATTCCCATGACACTGTCCCTGGTCACAGAGCCCTCCCAGGCCATGTTTGAACAAAATATGTCGATTACCTGATCCTGTTTTAATGGAGTTAGTCAAGAACTCTTGGGATTTACACAGAGAACAGGATCATGGGATGATTCTGACTGGTTGGGTTTTATTTAGCTAATTATTCTGAAAGTTTATACTGTTCGATTTTTATACTATGTACTTTCTGTTACACTTTGAACTACTTTAATATATGTTTTTGCCAGCAACTTTGAGAATTAAAATCTTTTACTAACAATATTTCTGCCAGTTCTGTTTGAAATGAACATTGTTTTAAAGGAAAAAATTTTACTTTAAAAATACAGAGACTTAATGTAGTCATACAGTGAATACTGCTCTTTGCCATAACCAGCCTTGATACCCAGATCCTAAATATTCCCTCTTGAACACGCACTTGTTGTAGTGCTACAAAACAGGGTATAGTTAAAGCAGAACAAGACAGAAGAGTGGTGTAAAAATCCAGATGGCTTCATCAAATTAGTTTTAAAATAAATTGTTCAAACTTTAATTTCCTATAGGTTCTTTTGCTGCAAATGGCCCAACTGCCTTGCTGGATAAAAAGATTTCAGATCCCAAAACCAACGGCAGCAGTCCACAGCCCTCGTCCTCCAGCCTTGCTTCTAGCACAGCCTGTGCAGGGAGCACCTACCACAAACAGCTGGCGGCCTTGAACTGCTCGGTTCGGGACTGGATAGTGAAGCACGTGAACACAAACCCCCTGTGTGACCTGACACCCATCTTTAAGGACTATGAGAAGTACCTGGCCACTATTGAGCAACAGCATGACAACAGTGGCAGTGGAAACTCTGAAAGCGGAACAAGCCAGATGTCAGTTGACACACAGACCCCTTCCCTGTTTGGTTCAGCAAAACTACCACAAGAGTCAACATTTTTGTTTCATGGCAACAAAACTGAGGACACATCTGAGAAGAAGATGGAAGTTGTGTCTGAAAAGAAGACCGACACAGCACCAGAAGCAGCAAGTGTCTCGTTTAATTTCGGCAAGAAAATTGATAGCTCTGTTTTGGGCTCACTGAGCTCTGGTCCCTCAGCTGGATTTTCATTTTCACCTGGAAACTCCAGTTTATTTAGTAAAGATACTACCCAGAGTAAACCAGTTTCTTCACCATTTTCTGCCAAAACATTGGAGGGTCAAGCAGAAGGTGGCAGTAATGAAAGCAAAGGTAAATTTTAAAATTATCATTGTAAGTTTATATTTGCAAATTTTGTGTTTAGTGGGAAAGGCATATTTTTTTCCCCATTCCAGGTGGATCTCACACTGTGACTCCATCGCATCCTGCTTGTGTTGTCCTGGATAAAGTTTATTAGTCCTTACTTGTAAAATGACCTAGGACCTATTTTGTAGGGTTGTTGGAAGGATTATAAAATGGGACTCGGAGGTAGTTCAGTGGTATAGTGCTTGTTTGGCGTGCATGAGGCCCTGGGTTCCATCCCCAGCACCCCCCACCCCCCCAAAAAATATATACACACACATAAAGAATATGTACAGCCAGGCATATGGTGGTGCAGGCTTGTAATCCCAGCAGCTCTGGAGTCTGGAGCAGGAGGATCCTAAGTCCAAAACCAGCCTCAGCAACTTATTGAGGCCTTGAGCAACTTTGTCAGATCCTCTCAAAATAACAAAAATAAAATAAACGGGCCGAGGACATGGCTCAGTGATTAAGCACCCTGAGTTAAATCCCTGGTACCTAAAAGGAAAAAAAAAATATCTAGCATTAATGATTTTGAGAAGTATCAAATGCATGGCTTTGCATTTAAAGAGATTGACTTCTCATAGCACAGCAATTAAACCAACACAGTGGTTCCCCTACAAGTCTGAAATTCATCTTCCTGAAGGTCAGTGGTGGGTTCTGAGTGACAGTTCTGTCTTCAGCACCAATGTCACAGACCAGGCAGCAGCCAGAGCCTTGGTCCTTCCACTCCCTCTGCTCTTGGCTCTCTTTTTCTCTCTTTTTTTGGGGGGTGGGGGTGACCAAGGATTGAATCCGGGCACTTAGCCACTGAGCCACACTTCCAGTCCTGTTTTGTAGTTTATTTAGAGACAGGGTCTCACTGAGTTGCTTAGTAGTGCCTCATTTTCACTGAGGCTGGCTTTGAACTCTGATCTCCTGCCTCAGCCTCCTGAGCTTTTTTATTGGTACTTTATAGTTGTCACATTGGTGGGATATGTTGTTACATATTTGTACATTTACACAATGCAGAGTTGCTTTTTGATTTAGCAAGTTTTCATGCAGCTGCCTTTCTCTTCCAGAGAACCCTTCCCACTTAAACAGAGTCTTAGAGGTTGAGTACTGCCGTGACTGAAAGTGCCTTCTGGCCCAGTTAGCCAGGGACCTGTAGGAGCAGAGCAGTGAGCCCTGTGGCCATTCAGACAAAGCCAAACTTACTTACACTTGGCTTTGGAGCAATTTCTCTGACAAACTTCCTCTTTAAAAAATTTTACTTTTCCTATCATTGGCATTGCTGACATTGCTATATCTCGGCATGCTGTGGATCCAGTCACAAGAGCATTTGGAGATGAAGGCATTAGAGGATCCTCTGAGATTTTAGTTCTCCAGCAGATAACCTGAATATAAATAATTGAATATTGACAGGTTAATTTTCTATGCATGTCGTAAGCAGGGATTTGTTCTAGGACTTTCTACATATTAGCAGTTACTTTAGAATAGAGAAATATGTTCTCATTGAAAACTATTATTTTTTACACAACAATTAAAATTCAGCAGTGGCCTCCCCCCTCCAAAAACAAAATGAAAAACGGTATGTGTTTAGCCATCATGTTGGCTTGCACGGGGTATTCAGGGTTGAGACTCAGATGGTCAGGAGCAAGCTCCTGCTGCTTTTGCAGTCCTGAGCTAAGCTTGACTGAGCTGTCATTTTTTTGTAAGGTGGAGACGAAGAGGAGAGTGATGAGCCTCCCAAGGTGGTGGTCACTGAAGTGAAGGAAGAAGACGCTTTCTACTCCACCAAGTACGAGATGACCCTGGGAGCTGGCGTGGGAGTCCCGGGGCTGTGGGTCAGCGTGTCCTCATCGAGGCCTGAGCTCACACTGGGCAACTCTGAACTAGAACAGGGAGAACCCTTGGCCTGCTATTTTAAACAGGCCAGGTCTGGAGATTTCCTGCTGAGCACCTCTGTCCATGCTTTAGAGACAGACTTCTGCCCCTTTTCTTCCTTCCTTCTCTTCCCTTCTGCTTTCATCGTGAAGAAAGTTGGTTTGGTTTTGCTTCTGCTCCTTATCTGGAAGCGTCCCTGACCCCTTCCTGGAGACCTGATCTTTCTGGATTTTCTTACAGACAAGAGTTGGGCACAGTGACCCGCTACCCCCTTCTGTTAAGGGTTGCAAGAACTTTGGCCTCCTCTGGTAACGAGGCTATTACTTGGGGTCGGGGAGGGGAGGATTGCTTTGTTTTTAAATGAGCTGCCTCTTTCAGCTGAAGGGAAATTCAAATTTTTCTTCCTCTTGATTAAATGAGATTATTGCTTGCAGAGATATTTCCTAAAAGGTATTTGTACCATTTCATTTATAATGTACAGTTTTTAATAAGAAAAAATTAATAACAAATCCATAGTTTTCCATTTAACAAATCATCATATCCTCTGAGATTCTTAAGTGTTATTTTCAAGAATTTTTAAGGGACCAACAATTACCTTTGCTTATTTTTAAGGTTTTTTTTTGGCAAGGGCAGGTTGGGTACTGGAGATTGAGCTCAGAGGCACTTGACCACTGAGCCACACCCCCAGCCCTATTTTCTATTCTTTTTAAAGACAGGGTCTCACTGAGTTGTTTAGCACCTCATGTTTGCTGAGGCTGCTTTGAACTTGAGATCCTCCTGCCTCAGCCTCCTGAGCCACTGGGATTATAGACATGCACCACTGTGCCCGGCGTTGCTGAGGCTGGCTATGAACTTGTGATCCTTCTGCCTCAGTCTCCCAAGCTGCTGGGATTATAGGTGTGTGCCACCCAGCTTATTTTTAGTTTTAATTGCAAGAGTGACCCTGACTTTTTAAAGATTTTTTCCTAAGAATAAATCAAATGAGCGGACAGTGGTTTTGTTGTATTAATAACCAAATGACATGGGAGGCTAGGATGAAATATCATTACTCTATTGTTGAGCCTACTTGAGATTTACCTCAGCATCTTGGGAGATAAAATTGAAGGAGCCTGAAAGAAAATTTTTAAAATAATAGATAAAGGAAAAGATAGGGTGGGGGCGATGAAGGACAGATTGTTTGTACTTAAAGGACCAGATCAGCTCTTGAGCTCAGAGCCAGAGGTGCAGATCAAGGAGCCATGGGGTGTCTAAGTATGATTTTGACTGACTTGAGAAAAGATGGTTTTAGCAAGACTTATTAAAATTTTTATGGCGGTCTAGGGGTGTGGCTCAGTGGTACAGTGCCTGCCTGCCTGCCATATACACGGCCCTAGGTTCAGTCCCCAGCATTTGAAAACACAGAAATTTTTAGGGGACCCACTATTCAATTGGAAAAAATGGGGAGGGATTCTAGAAGGCTAAGTAGATTTTCTTTTTCTGATTTTTATCCAGACCTAGTTGATCTGGATCAATAAAATTATTCTCTGCTTTCATTTAATATAGATTTTTCCACAACCGTGATTGTTAGAAAAAACTGTGACTTGTCACTGAATACCTGACTATACCTGTTATCTTTTTCCATAGGTGTAAACTATTTTACAAGAAAGACAATGAATTTAAAGAGAAGGGTGTGGGGACCCTGCACTTAAAGCCTACAGCAAGTCAGAAGACACAGCTCTTAGTACGGGCCGATACCAATTTAGGTGAGGATTTTTTTTCAGCCTTGTTCCTCCCTGATTTTAGTCCTTGAGATTTGGGGGTTTATTGATGTGTTTTTGGAATGGAAGAGATCATTCAGGCCAAGTCATGCTGTATTTATTCATTAAAGACTTAGTTTTGAATAATAGGGAAACAGTGTGTAAGGAAATGTAGACATGTTTCAAACTAGCGAGAAAGGAAATCATTTCATTTGCTTTGTTAGAAGTGTGGCTGAGGCTAGAGAGAAGCTGGGCAGTTCAGGAAACGGGCCATCCCGAGGAGGCCTTGTATAGATGAAAGCATCAGAGCCCACTGCTGCCCACACTGTCCGCCAGCCTCCGTTTTTCCCTGGAAACTGCTGGAAGGAGAGTAGTGCTCAGCAGATGGGAGTGGCAGGGCCTGAGATGAATGGCGGGATCGCTAGATCTGTGGCTACAAGCCGTGTCACACAGAGAAACTTCTAGGAAGCGTTTTTTCCTTCCCAGGGCTTGAGTAATTTATAATAACGACACCATAATGTCACCATTGCCCAGTAAGTTGTGCTGGTCTCTGAATTACAGTAAAGCATCATCTCTGAGATGATGTTCTTGTTTGTGGGTCGTACTAGCTAGCTCTTCCTCCAGTCCTCTCGGAGCTGAGTCATGTGGGTGTGTGAGTGGGAGCGTTGGGCAGGGCCACCAGAGACCTCCCAGCACTCTGTCCAGGACAGTGCTAGTACCTGTGAGGGAGCCAGTGCGCATTCTTAATGGCTCCGGGTTTGGGATCCATTGAGTCTGAGCTGCTTCAGGGTTTCGTGCTCATCGAGCTGTGGACTCCTTCCGTGGAGCTCTAGTTGATATGATTTTGATGTATATTTTCCTTTGTTTTAATGCAGGCAACATACTATTGAATGTTTTGATTCCACCCAATATGCCATGTACCCGAACAGGGAAAAACAATGTACTCATTGTCTGCATTCCAAACCCACCACTTGATGAGAAGAGTGCCACCGTCCCTGCCACCATGTTGATTCGGGTGAAAACTAGCGAGGATGCAGACGAGTTGCACAGGATTTTACTGGAGAAAAAGGGCGCCTGAAGGTGAAGTCGGAGGAAGCATTGCCAAGTTGCTGCTCCCCCACCTCCCTTTAAACTTAGTGTTTCTTTTCTTTGACCTTCTAAGGACTTCTAGATAACTTAAAACTGTTGTGGGGAAGATTAAGGCCAATAAAACCTTTCAATGTTTTATTTCAATGTCAAGGAACTGTATTCTCCCTTCTTCCAAGACTGACAACTGTGCAAAATACATTCGAATGAAATTTTTTGGAAGTTTTTTAAATGTTCATTTGTTTATTAAACTGTTAGTGATTTCTTAATGGACTGCAGTCAGGGTTTGGATTAGCTTTCCCAAAGGCTTTTCTGATCCATGGGGTTTCGGGTCGCTACCAGCACTGGCAAGGCTTCCTGACGGCGGATGCGGCAGCCAGGAAGAAACCTGGTGGTGTGGTTCTTACGCGTGGGAGCAACGGATGTGTGAGACCAGCACTCTACCAAATGAACCAGCTGCCATGCTGTGACCGACGTTGTCTTCTGCTCTGTTGTATGTTCCGTTTTCAAACTGCAGTGTGGGCACTCACCGTTCACTGTGGGTGTACATCGTCAACTTATGATTTGCAGACATTGGCCTTTAACCCTGTGGGCTGCTTTACTGTAATTCAGGAACTGCATTTTCATTTTAAAAGGAAGCAGGTTGCTCGACAAGGAGTTCTTGGGTTTTGAATATCTGGTTTTGTAGTTTTTATTCATGAGGTGCTATTATTTGTTTATTCCCCAGAGACAATTAAGATAGAAGGGGATTATTGCCAGGAATGGGGTTTAAAAGCACAAATTTGGTAGCTTATCATTTCTAGAAATGACCATGGACATCAAACCCTTAAGAAAAAAAGTGGAGTCAGACTGCACTGGAAAAGAAAAATGTGTTCATAGTCACTTGTACCTTAAATGAGCCCCATAGATCTAAAAAAATTTACGTAGGAGGAGTTTGAATTCACTAGGAAACATGAACTTAAGGTAGTGGAGAAGGAAACTGTGTGTGAAGTTTGCCTTTAACTTTAGACAGCGGTATATTTATACACCTATTATCTGAAGGTTTTTTTTGTTTTGTTTTTTAAGAATAAAATACTCAGTGTGTCCATTTGGAGCCATGGTTGTGCCCAGGAATATCAAGTCACTTCTCCAGAGCTGTCAGGTAGCACTAGCTTGCTTTGAAGACTGGGCACGTGAATTACATGCAAGATTTAATGTCTAAATTCCCACTTTGATTCCTTGTGAATTAAAAATGAAAGTGCTAGTGCCAGCTGGTGCTGTCTCAGGGCTCAGGGTCACTGCCCACTTGAAAATCCTCATCTTCAGTATGTAATGTGCCTGACTTAGGAAACAGGAATCAGAATACTTGTGGGTGGTCTGGGTGCTTTTAGAAACTGCAGTCTTCGGGTGTGGTGTGTGGAGCGCTCTGCACAGGGTAGCTTGCTCTGGAGCCCTTGAGGTGAAAGATGGTGAGATTTTGTGTTGCCTGTGACCGAGCAGTTTTCTCGTTTCAGTGGGAGAATTTGGCCTAGAGTGTGGCTCTGAATAAATACGTGCAGAGAGTTGTGTTGTTAGGGATGTGGCTCAACTTTTACTCTGTTGTTGTGAGGCCTGGGGAGGAGGCGGCAGGTAGGTTTGCATTTACCTTTAGAATTGAGAATGCTCAAGAGTTTTTATTAAAGATGATTTATGGTAAGCAAGTGGTTGATAACTGTTAAAATGACACTGCCCTGCCCTATTCATATTAACTTTCTGAAAAATGAAGGGTAAATAGGGGGACAAATTTCAGGATGTGACCACTCAGCCTCACCTGCTGCCTTGGCACCATCCCACATACTCACTCTCAGGCCGCAGAGGAGCATAGCATGTCCTGGGGCGTGGGGGGCGTATGTGGCCCACGTCTGCATGTGTCATAGGTGTTTACAAAAGCAGCATGAAAGCTCGTGTCACCTTCTAACCTCCTTCCCTGAAGCCAGGTTTGTTTTTAAATTAGTGGATGTGTGTGGCTTTCTTTTGTCCTAACATTCCCAGCAAATTTTTGCTGCTGAGACTATCACTATTAAAGTGAGAATTACAGGGGAAAATGATGCTTCGACTCAAAATGTGATATTTTCTTGAAAATTTTTATGCTTTAGGATCTTGTTGGACCCACTTAGTGTATTCATATAAATGAACCTGAGTATGAGTGTATTTTATGATAAAATCCAACACCTTATATATTGCTTGGGGTTAGGGGCCCCTGGAGGGCTTACCCAGTTTTTCTCTACTGTGTTAATAACTAGTTCTAGCCTGTGGGTTATTTTAGTCTGATATATTTTAACAAAATGTTAGAAGTTAGACTTTGGAACGTTCAATATGGACTGAAAATTTCCATCTTTAGTTTGAAAATCCATAACTTGTATCTCGTGTACGAGACCTGAAGCGGGGCTTGTGTGCGTGCGCACTGGTCACACGGAATTTTTAATTCTAAGTCAGATTTCATCTTGATCTCATTCTGGAAGTGGGAGCTCTAGGGAAACTTGTTCTGGCTTGTTCTGCAGCAAAACCTGTAGAGGGCGCAGCCTGTCAGCGTCTTCTCTCCCCATCCTGCGCTGAGAGTGGCCATCATGTAAGGACTAAGGACTCTCCACTTGATGCGGACAGCACTCTAAGGGAGATGCAAAACTTCTTAGCAATCAAATGGATAAACTGTTTGCTTTTTACTTTGTGCTAAGTATCCCGTGGCCTTTTTTTCCCCAAAAACTGATGGGTCCTTGCCATTCCCAGTAAGCAGAAGGCTGAGTGTTATGCCGCCCGCCTTACTAGAATCACACTGGAAACGTTGGTTTTAAAAGGACTTTAGTGTTTTACATGGGAGGCCAAGTCTGACTGTGGACTGATTTTCTTGAAGAGAACTATGTTTTACAGTTTCAATTATAAATCATATTCTATGCTGCATGCCAAAAAAAAATAATAATAATGCCTGTTCTTGGAGAGAAAATATTCCACCTTAGCACTAGAACTCAGAACAGGTGTTCACAGAGAGCCTTTCAGTGTGCTGTCGAGTTGACGGGTCTGCTGTCCTTGGCATCTCTGTGGAGTCGCAGTGCAGGTGTGATGGGTTAGAAGGCTCTGTGGACTCTAGCGTCCTCGCACCCAGGTCTTCTCATCCTGGAAACACGGCTTGTCCTGTAGCCCGTAGAGGGCAGCAGCCTGTCGAGACTGGTCTTTGGTTCTTCCAACCGTGCACTGAGCACAGGCTCTGTGTGTTCCTAGCCAGAGGCCATCATGGTAAGGTCTAAGGACTCTCCATTTGATGCGGACACCACTCTAAGGGAGATGTAAAACTTCTTAGCAATCAAATGGATAAAGTGTTGTTTTTACTTTAAATAGGAAATTTTCTAAGACAAATACTTGAATTGTTAAACATAATCTCAGTTTGTATTAGTTTTGAGTGACCCCGTTGAGGGAGTGTTAATCCATGAAATGTGAATAAATGGGAAGTAAACAAAAGCCACTGCGTTTGACACTTTATGTTGCTCTCTGGTACACTTGGCATGGAATGGAATGGAAGGGAGAGAATGAGGAGCTGCAGGAGCCTCCCAGGCAGCATGACCAGGGACATGTGCTTAATCTAGAGATCTGTGTGTGTATCAGACTCCTGTGGGTGGGACGAGGCCACCCCAAGTCGCTCAGGCCTTGGGCTGTGTTGGATTGCTTTAAAAACAGAATGGGAGTAGGTCCTTGACTGGCTGGCACGTGGATGTGGTGCCATGGTCATGGCTTCTCCTGGTCCATCCTCAGTGCAAACTCTCGTTTCTCCTTGAAAAGGAAACCTGGGCTGGGGCGTTGCTCAGTGGCAGGGCGCCTGCCTATCATGCAGAAGGCCCTGGGCTCAGTCCCCAGCACTGCAGAAACAAAAAGGATCAAGGAAAACATTGCGAATTTATGTCACTTAAAATACGGGGTGATTTAGAAAACTACAAGATTAAATTCCATAATCAGTAGTACTCTGGAATTGTGTTTATACTCTTGAAATCTCCTAAGTAATTAAGTATTTATTTGATTTGGAAGGTGTTTCCTTGTTTGAAAAATACATATTGAAGAGAGTTGATCTATCAAGGTGTTTTTCCTGAACTCCTGACGTCTGGAGGGAGCGACTGAGTGGCACCAAAGGTGCTGGCTGAAGAGCGGGTTGTGCCCAGCTCCCCAGCCCTGCAGGAGGTGCTTAGCCGCCTGGCCTGCCCACCACAGGGTTTCCAGGTGTGGCCCTGGGCCCGCAGCATCTGGGAGCTTGCTGGAAATGGAGACCTTTGGGCCCCAGCCCAGGCTTACAGAACCAGAATCTTGGGCGAGACCCGCCCAATCATCACCTAAATTGGGTGTAATTCACAATAAAATCACACTTTTAAGTATTCAATGTGGCTTTTAGTTCATTCAGAGTGGCACAACCACTGTCAGTACTTTCAAAGTATTGTCATAATCAGCCATTAGGTTTGAACAGCTGAACCCAACGTGAAGTCGAGAGGACCACACACACGCACACTCACTCCCTGAGACTCCTGCTCAGACGGGAGGGACCATGCAGTGCCTCTTGGCATGCTCTGGAGGAACCAGCAGTAATCATCAGGGCCAGCAGTTACTGGTACGCGGCCTTCTCTGGCCTGCATCGCTGTCCTGGGAGGCAAGTGGTAGGCCACGTTCCCTTTGAGGAAACCCTTGCCCTGGAGATGACCAGCCTAGGTACTGTGACGTGTCCTGGTGTGGGTCCCCGCGGCTCCCTCCAGCCTGCCCTTGAACCTATGTGCATGCCCATTAAATGACTAAATGGGTTTCTGGAATCAGCTAAAGTCTTTTGAGCAAAGTTGTTTATTCAAAATATAATCAAAATTATTTCAAACTGAGCAACCTAATTGTTTTATTAAGTCACATTCCAAGATGAAAGACCCTTCATCCACATCATAAGAGAAAAGAAAAATCTTCTTACCCGTCACTCAGGCAGAGGCTGAGGCAGGAGGAGGTCAGTGACGCTGTGAAGGAAAGACAAGTTGGCCCCCTACAAACAGGCACCTCCCTGGTCCTCCAGATTTTCCAGCTGTTCGTCATGTTAACACCAAGCTCAAGAGCACAGCCGGTCTGCACAGCTACCCCAGACATTCCTGAGCCCTCGTGCGTGCGTGCGTGCGTGCGTGCGTGCGTGCGTGCGTGGCCCAGTTTTCATTTCTCTCTTCCCAGTACCAGTTCCCTTTCCAGGGAGCATTTTCTCTAGGTTTGGGCGTGGCCTCAGCTCAGACTACCAATCCGTAGTTACAGGCCACGTGGTGACTGTTTTGAAGGGACTTCCTGGTTATTTAACAGAAACAGGATTTGCTTCAGACCACAAGGAAGTCTTGTCCCCCTTCTGATCTACCTCCCTCCTGCTTCCACTTTTCAGTGTGCCCTTGGAGATGCCAGGTCAAGAAATTTTCAATCTGGTGTTTCCAAGGCAGAGGGCTAGACCCCCTGCATTCCTAAATGTGTCTCCATTCTGTAGCTCTTCAGTCTCTTGGGCCTTACTCACACCCAACACTCTGCAGCAAGTTGTTCATCCTAATAAAAAAAAAACATTCCCTGGAAGGTGGTTCTGAGGCTTTCTGCCTGTGATGAACACAAAAGCAGCCTCTGGGAGGATCAAAGAACCCCCGTGAGCACGCCCAGCAGGGTGCGTTCTGTGGGGTGCCAGGCAGGGAGAGCACCTGTTCCCAAACCTCTTAGTGGGAGCATGCCCAAACCAAAGCCAGCCCCAGCTTCTGTTCCAGGCATTGGCCCACATTTGAGAGGAGTTGGGAAGTTCCACAGCACGACCGTGGGGGTGTGAACCACTCTGAGGGCGGGGAGCTGTGCCTGAAACATGTTTCGGGATTTACCTTTGTAAACATGGCACCTCTGGTCACAGACTCCGGGATGGCTAGCACGAACATAGAGCACCCTGGGGCCTTCTGCAGGACTCCAGCACATCCCATTCCAAAGAAGTGCCTGTGAAAGGCCCCAAAGCCACTGCAGGGCTCTGGGGCAAACCAAGTTTCCATCATTAAGCTATCACTTTGCTCTAACATCTGCAATAGCCTGAACTGAGCACAACAGAAAAAATAACTAGGTAGGTACAGATCAGAGGAAACCAGGAGAAAATAACTTTAATATGCAAAGCAACTTTCCAAAGAAACAGGAAATCATACAGCAAAGCTGACGGAACTGCAAATCCTGCCTAGAGATGACTTCTGCTGGAGGCGGAAGGTGGCTCATCAATTAGCCGGGACCTTTATGGAAACACCACGGACAATCAGCATGCCAGTGTGCCCACTGTGTGCCAGCATGATGTTTTTGCTAAAATATATTTTGTAAAAACCATGAGTTATGCCTCAAAGTGGCAAAAAACCCTCAACATTTTCTTTGCAGATTTAACCACTCTCAAACACAGAATTAGTTTGGAAACCATAAGAAATTCCCATTTACAAACTTTCTGACCTGCAAAGTGGAGGACTGAAGTCAAAAGAGGGTCTAACAGACAATGCTTCCAGCTGCTCAGCAGAGCGGGAGGATCGCTGCTGCTTTTGACTGACCGAGGCCATGGTCTGGAATCCTAATAGAAGACCTGATGGCCTTGGGAATATGATCGGAAGCTGTAAACTAAGCTCCCCGTGACCCTGCTGCTCCACTCTGGGCTCCACCTGCTGCGGACAGAGCTCCACCCAGACCCAGCTACAGGTGTCCAGTGGTCTGGTTTGCGTGGCGGCCAAGTGGGCTCAGAGAGAGGGCTGGTGGGTTCTGTTTCCACGGAGGCTCATTTAGTATCTAGTCAGTGAAAAGCAAAGTACGAAAAGCAGGTCTGGGGGGTACCCCAGCTCCCAGCGGCCTCTGCAGAGCACAGGGTGGTACTTGGAGCAGCTCTCCAGCAGGGGCTGCTGCCCAGCCCTCCAAAGACTCCCTTCATTCAGTCCTTGTCCTGTTAGGATGGTTTTATTGAGAAGTAATTTGCTTCCCAGTACAAAGACAAGACCCAGCCTGACAGGGAGAGGTCAAGGGATCTGGTTTTTGAGGCTGGATGTGAAATTCCAGTTAACCTGGAAATCTGCAAACATTTCTGGGTGAAACCCACCAAGTTCAATATCAAGTTGGCAGATATCTAAAAAAAGGCCTCTAAAGAATTTTGGCCAATGATTTAAATCTACCAGGAACGACACTGTTACATGTATTTTCCGTCACTAGGATCAGGGATGGAAATGCCTTCTAAAGTCTCCTACTAACTAATGTACTTGTGAGTAAACAGGAAAAATATCCCATTTCTTTCTAGCTGGATTTTTTGAGAGAAGCCACAGGAGGAGCACACCCTCCTGGTCTCAGGGCTGCACGGAAACCTGATTCCTGACACGAGTGCCAGACGCCACCCTCCCGCCATGCTGCGGGCTGGGGAGTGCTTGCTTTTTGTCCTCTTTTGACCACTTCCCTGCTAAGTTGTGTTTTAAATAATATTCTTTTGAAAAAGTGAGCCTGGCCTCTTTGCAGGCACCTAGAAGTTCCAGTAAGACCTCAGAAGGCAGAGCTTCTCCACCTGTTCTTTCAAGAGCTGCCGGAGGGTGGGATGGAGGCTCACAGCCCCGTCAGAGTGCAGGAGCTGGACACTTAAAAAAAAAAAACCCTCAGTTTTCTTAATGTCCTAAAAACTGACACCTAAGTTTCCTCAAAGGAAAGCTTCCCGATCCCCAGTCGGGACCTGTATGCTTGCTTCCGTCACCCTCTACTCTTCAGGAGACGGGCGTTCCCAGAAAAGCTAAAGATGGCCTTCAAGAAGCAAGAGCGTGCCACATGGGGCTGTTGGGCTCTGGTTCCAGCCAGCATTTGTCACTTTTTCACTGATAAAATTCATTATTCTGAAAAAAGCCTGACTTGGAGTGACAGCTCAAGTCTGGCTGTCAAGTGCCCCTGAGCGTGTTGGAGAAGGGCTTCCGGGTTGAGGACAGAGTGCCTGCGTGTCCCGGGCAGCGCGCTGTGGGCCACGCTGCAGCTGAAGCCCAGCTCGACTGTCACCACTGCTTGTGGCGCAGTGCTGGCAGGGCTCTGAGCCCCTCCAGCTGCCTCCTCGCCTAAGATGGGAACAACAGTCCAACCTAAGTGTTGGGTTTAGCGCTCCACGCCACCGCGTGCCCTGTTCACGCGCCTTACACTCACGGGTGTGACCTAAATCGCATCTGCACCTCGTGACCTGTGCAGCAAGCACTTTCCCACGTGCCTTCAGCAGCTCCTCACAGCTACCCCACCTTACAGTGGGGACCCACTACCTGCTGCCGCCCTGGACTGCCTTGTCCTTCCATGGAAGACACATCAGGGCTTTACTTCTCCGAGACCCAGTCCACAAGTCCACAGCCCAGAATGAGCAGGGAGAAAGTTCTGGAGGCAGGAGGTGTATTTTGGCCATCCTGGACACAGACGGGAGCGGCATCAGGCACCCCTGGAGAAGAGCGTGCTGGACAGGGCTCTGCGCGGGCACTCTGGGGCCTGACCTGACCCTGCTGCCCTAGGCGCAACCAGCACAGCTGAGCTGCAGCTCCAGCCTGGGCCGGACGCTGCTGGAGGTCCACATTGACACAGGTCATTACAAAGGGGGAGAGGTGGCGAGCCTCTAGAGCAGCCGCCCAATGACCAACCCACACCATGCAGAAGGACTGACGGCGCCCTGACCCGTGGTGCACTGAACCCTGGAGATGGAGTGAGGTAGGTGGAACCGGCCCCGGTCACAGCGGGCAGACGGAGGCAGGGTGAAACGCAACAGCTCGCTTTTAATAACAATATACAAAATCTGGAGAAAGCCCCGAAGTGGTGCCCCATTCCCGGAGCCCGCAGAACGCAGAGGCAGGAAGACATGCTCCCGTCTGCCTCTGCGGCCTGCAGAGGGTCTTAAACGACTGGTGCCCTCCAGTATGGGGGACTTCAAAACAGCAACAAAGAGACTCAGCTTCCAGTTTATTCCCTGTTGGGTGGGGGAGGCCTCTGCTCACGAGAGCACACTGCGCGTCACCAGATGCGGCTCCTTCGCGCTAGGGCAAGGCCAGGCTGGCAGCCCACACACTGACCACTGCACCTGCCGTGCACACCCAGCTGAGCCCCACTCTTTGCCCAGGGAGCTGGTCTGAGAAGAGGGGCCAGCACACCAGCCAAAGACCACCAAGGACAGGAAATGATGCCCAGCCCCCTCCAGCCTCAGGACGGCGGGTAGGCCTAGAACCTTCCTGAGGGGAGGCCAACCCCAGCCCACATCAGACACTGACCACCAAGCCCTCCCACCTGCCCAAAGAATCCAAATTCCAGGGGACCCTCCAGCCGAGGCCCAGAACAGGACGCGTCCGGGTCGGAGGTTGTGTGTTGGTGGTGTTCTTTGGCTGGAAGCGAAAGGCCATTCTGGCGGAATCAGGGCGATCTGCTTGGCTCGGGCTGTTCTGGAACTGGGTGTGAGAGAGGTGCTCCAGCCCAGGGCAAAGCGTCCAATAGCAAGTTCCCATCTTCCCCGTCTTCCTGCAGTAACCTATTGTGACAGCAGTGACTAGGGGAGGCTGAGCTGGACTAGCTGGAGGCCCAGGTGTGTCGGGACCCCTTTGCCAAATCCTCAGCTGGGCTTCCCTAAGGACACACAGTCTGACCACGGAGCGCCCGGGGTGGGTCCGGCTCTGTCAGCTGTGAGCCAGGTCAGTGGGTCTGGGCACATTCTGGACGCTGGCTACCCTATGGCCTCTTGGTGTCTCTGGCCTCTGGATGCAGAGGGCTCTCCAGAGGCGGGCTGGGGGGGCGAGTGGCGGCACAGGGCGGGAGCAGAGCCAGAGGGAGGAGTTCGAGGCACTTCAGTTTGGGCTGGTGTACTAGAGTCGGCCCTGGCCCCGGGAGTCGAGTGGCCCCGCCTGGCTGTGGCTCCAGCACTGGCTTGTCACAGAAGACCCCGTGGCGGTGACAGGTAGGCACTTGGCAGCAGTCCCAGGGCTGAGCAGGGCCGGGGCTCCGAGAGGGCTGCACGCACTCTAGGTCATCAGGATGGGCTTCTGCCGGACTTCCAGGATGTCTAGGGCCAGCAGGGAGGGGCAGGGGGGTCAGGGACACTCGACCACCATGCCTGGCCACAACGGGTCCTAGCAGGAGCCCACAGAGGCCACACACCATCACCTGCCCTGCGGAAAGGTGCCCAGAGCAGCTGCAGAGCCTGGAAAGGGCGAGGAAGGAGCAGCACACTCCAGGGCTCCCCTTGAGGCTGCAGGCCAAGAGCCAAACCCTGCCCACATGACACCCAGGACTGCAGCCACTCAAGAGGGACAGCAAGAAGTGCAGGCAGGTGTGCAAAGGGGCACCCTGGTTTGGGGTCAGCTGCAGCCCACCTGAAGCCTGGAGCAGGAGGCCCGACCCTGCAGGGGTGGGAGACGACCCCGAGCCACAGGACCCTGGGTCTGGGCAAGTGCGGAGAAGGGGCTCTGCCCCCGCCCCCCCACCTCACCTGTTAAGATTCGATGCAGCGGCAAAGTGACGTATGTCAAGTGTGCATAGAGAAGGAAGTTCCCATCGGCTCTGTTCAGTTTCAGCCAGGACCCGACCAGGGACCGTCCCGTGCCAGACAGGGACCGGGACCGCAGATTGGTTGCATTGTGCAGGTCGGCTGGAGGTCAGAAAGCCAGATCAGGGTCCCAGCAGTGGGGACTCGGCAGGAGCTGCAGGAGCAAATCCCCAGTCCAGGCCAGGACCCCCTCGGCTGTGTCCTGGGCACTCCTGACGGCCCCCACAGCACCCATGCACCCCAGAGCTGCTGTCTCCTCACCTTCCAGCCCCTCCTCCCACCCTCTGCCTCCAGGGAGACTTCCCTGGCTGCTCCCAGCCTCCCCTTCTTGGTATCTAGCTGAGTCTCCTTGAAGGTTGCTGCTTCCCTGTGCCTTGTCTGACCCTCGAACTAGGCCCTGCCAGCTGCAGGCCCCAGGGCAGCAGGACACAGCGCTCTGGGCCCAGCAGGAGAGCTGCCCCTGGAGGCAGAGCAGGTGCTGCGGGCACTTCCCATTGAGCTAGGAAGAAGCCAGCGGAGGGGAGGCTTGTCCAAGCAGGTCAAGGTCATGGCCCTGGGGGTTAGGGTCAGGACAAGGACAGCTTCCAAGCCCCATCAGTGCTGCCACCTGCTCCCTTGGGGCCCCCGTGGGACGGTGCTCTTGGAACTTCTGCTCTCACACGATATGACATGGGCTGGCACACACCCACTGGCCTGGTCCTTGAGGGACACTCAGCCCTCACCAGCAGAGTACACCAGGACTTCCCTCCCCATGCTGGAAGTCCACTTCTAAGCCCTCGGGTGGCCTCCCTGACCAGGGATAGAAGAGGACCCCTGCTGTCTGGCTGCACAGCTGGCTGGCAGCAGTAATCACTGAGAAGACACGGAGAAGGGGCTGGTGTGTGAGAGGCACAGTCGGCTGAGGGACCTGGGGCCTCTGGACACTGGGCAGAGATGCCCTGGAGGCTGTGGGCGGGAGCCTGAGGGGTCCTGCAAGTCATGATTCTGCCCCTGGAGAACAGGGCGTTGAGTAGAGATGGGGGCGACCCTGAGACAAACCCACCACGGAAGGTCCCAGCGTGAGGCCTGCTGGCCATGACAGCACAGGAGTGAACAGGACCAGAGCCAGGACTAGCTGAGTGCCCGCTGGCTGTGTGCAGCGGCTGCCCCAACCCAGGTGGCACGCGGCTATCTGCGCGGCACTCCCAGACCCCGGCCAGCGCCCGCAGGGTGCAGCCGCCGAGCCTCGGGGCCAAGCTCACCTCCACCATCGTCCTCCCGGAAAAACTCCTCACTGTCATTGGCGGAGTGAGACTTCTTCATCTCGGCGATCCGGTTCCGGGGCACCTTCCTCTTGAGGGATGGGGAGAAGAAGGCAGGCCGGTTGTTCCGCTCCGGGGTCGGGGGGGTGCTGAAGGAGGTCACCTGGGAACAAGGAGCCCGAGTCACTGGAGCAGCAAGAGTAGCCGCGGTCTGAGGGCCCCAAGGCCGCTCACATCCTGTCCCCCAAACAGCCCAGCTCTGAGCCCCAGGGGAGCGGCCACTGGGCTGCGGCTGCTGGCTCTGGCTCGAGTGCAGCCACCCGGGCAAGGGCAGGATGCCTGGCTGCAGTGCCCTCCAAGGAGGAAGCCCACTGCCACCGGGAAGGATGCAGGGTGCCTCTTCCTGGCCTCCACCCAGGGAGGGTGACAGGTGCAACCATGGATCAAGCCCGAGCCCCGCCCCGCCCCCTGGAGCCTTGACTATAGGCCAGGGGCTGGCGCTAGCCCATCTGACCATCAGGAAAGGAAGGCGAGACAGTGGCCTTGACTTGCCTAAGTCAGCCAGAGGCCTGACGGCAAACAGGACCGCAGTCCAGGTCATCCCCTAGTGTCCTCCCGCTGTGAGGCCCCACCCCTCTGACTCCCAGTCCCTTTCCTGAGAAGCACTATATAGCTCATCTCCACTCCTCCCGCCAGAGCACACTGGTCCCATTCTCCTGACGTCCACAGCCGCTGAGGCTAGGCTGGCACACACAGGTACAGACACAGGTCCCTGCCCTCAAGGAGCTCACAGTCTGTTGGGGGTGCCAGACTCAGAGAGTGACAACCACAGACAGCATGCTGGCCACTGAGACAGAGAACGGGAAGCACAGGACACAGGAGCACAGAGGCAGAAGAGACTGGCAGCCTGGGGAATCGGGGTAGGCTTCTTGGAGGAGGTGCGCTTCAGCTGGGTCTTGAAGGACGAGTAGGAGTTCGCCAGGTGAAGAAGGGGGGGAAGGGCGTTCCAGGCAGAGGGAACTTGGCCCATCTCCTCCCTCCTCCCCACGCAAACAAGAATCAGGGCGGCAAGATGAGCTGGGACTGAGGCTTCGAGAGCCCCATCGGCTCCTCGTCACAGCTCCGACATCCACCAAAGTCCCGCGGCTGCTGGGCTCCAGACGGTCCTCCCACAAGCCGGGAAGGTTTAAAAGATAAAAAAAACAAACACCAGAAGCTACAATACACACAGTCTGCATTTGTGATCCGCGCTGGTTACAGGTGGCCTCTGGGTATAAGAGGACATGTGACAGGCAGCAAAGAGCAGGGTCCCCAGAGCTCAGGCCTGGCTGCTGGCCCATGTGACCCCAGCGCCCAGGGCCTCCTGCTACCGGGGTCTGGGGCTGCCTCACCCCTCACAGCCACACTACCTGGGGAATCGAGGTTGGGGCAGGCCTGGTGACACGTCTGTGGCCACTCGGCACCCAGCCACAACTCCACACGAACGCTACACCCATCTTTTCAGAGTCCCAATGGGCAGTCTAGGGCCAGGAAAAACCAGACCCCTTATCTCAGAAATACGAACGGCCTCCGTTCCTGGGACAAGAGGCCACCTGGAACTCCACCATCTTCCTGAGTAGTAGCATCTGTCTGTCTCACAAACACACCGATGGGAGCAGGGAAAAGCTTGTGAGGAGAGAGAGAAGCTGGCCCTGAGCCCTGGAGACAATCGAGGCTCAGACCTTCTTACAGAATCAAAGCTCAGGCAGTGCTCCCTCTGCTCCCTCGCCTCAGGCTCCCGGGCCGTGACACGCACACCTGAGGCCACAGCCCAGCACCCCAGCAGCCAGAGGGCCACAGGCTCCCTCACACCTGGAGGCAGGTGTCTGAAGGAGAGCGCTGAGGTTGGAGCGGAAGAGGCAGACACACCACGGTCCCAAGCACACAGCGTCTTTGGACAGGGCTGGGCAGGCTGCGCCTGGGCCAGTGCACAAACTGCCGCCTCCTCCAGGGCCCGCAGCTCCGAGTGGCCCTCGCTCTGGAGACCCAGCAGGTCAAGGGAGCCAGTGGGCAGAGCCTGGTCTCACCTGGCCCTGGGGGTGAAGCTACTGCTGACCTCAGCTCTCCGCCCTAGGGAAGGACAGTGCCCAGGGCCCAGTGCTGTCTGTCCCCAAGAGGTGTGTGACCTGGGCAGCAACCTGGGTTCCAGGCCTGTGGGTAGGATCCTGCCCCCTACCCACAGGAGGAGCCGGCGGCTCCGGGGCTTGTGCTCTGCCCACCTAGTGGGCAGCAGGAAGGCCAGCTCCTCCTCACCTCCCTCTGACTCAACATCCAGTTTCATGTGGCCACCTCACCCAGCAGGTCCAGCTGGGCTGGCTCCAGGGCTAGGCCTGGCTTTCTGGTTGGACTCTCCTGTCCACAGCCCCTGGGGACTCAGCCTGGCTGCACTGGCAGCTCAGAGAAGCAGAAGGAGCTGTGGCCCAGGCCCAGCCTACTGTGTGACCTCGGGCAGGGTCCCCAGGTCTCTGCGCCTCGGCTTCCTCGTGGGTGGGAGTGATGGTACCTACCTCCCAGGGACTATGGGGTAGGGGACATGTGAGAAGCAAATCCGAGGGACAGGAGGCCCCTCCCCCAGCTGTGTCGCCCTTACCCGCTCATGCATGGGTGAAGCTGGGCTGGAGTCCTCTTCAGTCCCGCAGGGGGACGTGTCACCAGTGGACACACGGCTGACTGCCATCTCGGCATGGCCCTTTCCCTGGGGCCCCTTCATGCGCACAAACTCCATGTTGTTGTACTTGTAGAAGCCAAATGACATCTTCTGGGCCATGCGAGCAGCCACGCTCACCTGCAGCAGGTGGGATGTGGCCTGAGCCAGGGTGGTGGGGACTGCTCCTCAGGCCTCCCCCAGGGACACAGCAGCCAGGTTGACCATCCCTGTGGGCTACCCGTGGGGGAAGGGGCAGACCCCAGCCTGGCAGGTGCAGCATGGGGAGGTATTCCGGTCCCCTGGTGCCATTCTCGCTGCCCCGGAAGCTGTGCCACAACAGTGCAGTACCAGGCTAGGACAGGGCACCAGCACACAAGGCCTAATACTGACCCCTTCCCAGGCTGGGAGAGGCTCCGGTCTCTAGCAGCCCTGCCACACAGGAGCAGCCTGGGCTCCTCACCCTTGGCTGGCAGTCAGGGCCAGCTTCTGGGCTGTCCCCAAGAACAGGCAAGGGAGAGCCAGGGGCTCATGGCACAGTGAGGAGGGAGAAGAGAAAGACCCCCTTGTGTCGGAGGGCAAGGCTAGGCCAGGCGGGGGCCAGCTGAGCGTGGCCCAGGGCCACAGGTGCTGGGGGACAGGCATGGCCCAAAGGCAGGCTTGAGGCCACGCAGGGAGACGGGGATGGGGGACCCCAGGCGGACACTCACTCGGTTGTCATACACCTTCTTGAGCGCCTCGTAGCGGATAGAGCCCTGGAAGATGACCCCCTGGAACATGTTGGTTTTGTCACTGGCCACCAGCTCCACACACACCATCTCTCCTTCCCCCACAGTCATGTCGCTAAACACCTGAGGGGGCACAAGGAGGACAGGGGGATATGGAGTGTCCGCTGCCACCACTCGGACCGCAGCCGGGCCCAGCTGCAGGGACAGCCTGCTTCAAAGCCCCAGTTTGCAGGTGAAGTCACTGATGGAGAAGGCGACAGCCGTCCTGACCCCCAGCTCTGCCCAGTCCCCCAGACCCTTGGATCAGCCTCCCACTGGGCAGGGCTTACTGCAGGAACTCCAGGACTAGAGGTACGGTGTTGAGAGCCACAGCCGAAGGGGCCCCAGCAAACTTCCAGCTGCCAGCACCAGCTGCCAGCTGATGATTGGCTCACAGCGGCCCCAGCAAACTTCTAGCTGCCAACTGATTGGCTCCTCTGTGGTGATGCTCATTGGATTGTTTCCCTGCCCTTTCAGACCACAGAGCTGCTCATTGGGGGACTTTTTTTTGGCTCCGCCCATGCAACCCAGCCAATCGGCCTCAAGAGCAGGAGGAGTGGGGGAGGTTGAGAGGCTTGTGGGAAGCGGGTGGTGGCACTTGGGCTCTGAGGGTTTTCCTGAAGAGCTGGGTAGTGTGGTGTGTGTGTTCTAAAACTAAAGTTCATTTCTTTTGACAAGTGGCTCCTGAATTGTGCCCAGCCAGACTGCGGCATTTGGTGGCCCGTACGGGGAACGAACCCGCAACCTTGGCGTTATCAGCAGTGCGGCCCCTGCTGGGCCACAGGAAGGCCAGGCCCCTTGTCACACTTCTTCTGCAAGCAAGTGAGACAGGTTACAAGTTGGCCTGGCCACTGGGCACCTCCCCGTGCCAGCTATGCAGCCCCATCCTGCCTGGCCCTCTATGCCCTGAACTGGTCCCTGGGCTCAAGTCAAATGCTCAGCAGCACTGACACAATGACCACCTGCTGCCTTTCTGAGCTGCTATTCCCTGGGGCTGGCACACAGATTGTGTGGGGGGGGGAGGGGTGGGTGGTTGGGGACTGAACCCAGGGCCTTGTGCATGCAAGGCAAGCACTCTACCAACTGAGCTGTCCCCAGCTCCAGATGTGAGTTTTAAAGCCAGAGACTCAGATGCCAACAGCTTTGCTGTGTGAGGTGGGGAGGGTGTCAGCTCCTGTGCCTCAGGTGCTCAGAAGCCCCAAAAGACATGCCTGCCTTCCTGTGGGTCCTCCCAGGGAAACCCTGGTGAGCACAAGGACCACTCCAGGGCCTCGAGAGAGAAGCAGTGGCTTCCCTTCTGCTCCACCCAGTGCCCTGTGCCCAGTGAGCTCTGGTTTTCCCAGCTTTAAACACAGTCTTGGTCCAGGTGACTCCTGAAGCCCAACCCTGCCTGACACACCAGGATTTCCTGATGGTGGGGCATGAAGATGCCCATTTGTGGTCATGGGAGACAACAAAGACTTCCTGCCCAGGAGGCACGCACTGTGAGTCTGCAAGGTGCTCTCCCTCCCAGCGGCCCTTGGATCATCTACCCCATGGGCAAGCAGGACACGCAATGACATTCACACTCACTTTATAGATGAGGCTGGGTGAACTCCCCTGCCCCAAGTCAGACACCGGCAAGAGAGGCCTCGCTGGCCAGCCTCTGGACCACCACCAGCCCAACACCTCCTGTGGGAGAAGGTCCTCGCCCTGCGCCTCCTGGATAGAGCTGGGGAGCAGCCAGGGAAAGCAACTCACCTCCTCAAAGCTGTCAATCATGAAGAAGATGTTAGGGTAACTCATCTTGGACTCTTCCCCTTTGCTGTCCATGGGGTGTTTGCTGGGAGATGCAAACACTTGCTGAAAGAAAGCAGATTTCAAGGGCTGAGAGAGGTCATACCTCGCGGGCTGGCCCAGGGCCACTCTAGTACGGGCTGCCATGGCCACACTGCTCAGAGCCTGTCCAAAACCAAGGAGCCACTCTGGAGGAGCTGTGTGCCAAGACCTGGTTGCATGCTCCTTGCATGGGACACAGGGCCCCAGGCACTGAAGGTACTTCTGCAGTCAGACCCTCTCTCCCCTCAGGGGAAGGGAGGAGGGGAGGGGAGGGGGAGGAGTCTTTCCAGCCTAAACACCAGGCAACCCTGGACTGATGTGGCAGGTGGGTGGCCTGGGGCTCTCGAACCAGGGCTCACCTGGGATTTCTTCTTATGGATGTGAATGTCACCTCCATCAGAACGTGTGCACACTGCACAGGTCACCATGTAGTCCAGCTGGAAGAGAGCACAGGTCAGTGTGCAGAAGGGGCACTTCCCTCACACCCATGCAAACTCCACCCACTGTGCTCGTACCTTCTGCAGGATGAGATTCAGGCACACGCTCTCCTCCCAGTCAATGTCGGGGTCCCCCAGGCCCGGCAACTTCTTGGAGTCGCGCCGGTACACCTCCACCTCCACCTCGGGCTCAGCCTCCGCCTGCTACAGCACCGGGCGGGAGTGAGTGTGCTGACCACTGAACACCTGTGCCCCACCATGGTGCCGAGCAGGCCCAAGATGGACAAGGCCTCCCACTCCCACTGTTCCACTCCCAGCGCTCGAGCTCTGGGACCCACAGGGCATCCATTCTCCTCTTGGAGTCTGGATTTCCTCATCTGCACCGGGCCAGCATCTTCCACTCAAAGTTATTGTGATGATTAAAAAAGATCATATCTGCTAAGTGTCACTAATGACAGTGACATCTATTGAGCTCACAGTGGCCAGGAGGGGTTGGGTTCAATGTTTTGCGAATTATTTATTTTTTGGACCTAACAACATTCCTAGAAGACAAGTGTCATTAGTCACATTGTAACAGATAAAGCTCAAATTTATTGAAGGTCAAATAATATGCACACATGAAAGAGGAATGAGAGCATCTACCTGCACCTCTCCACGGAGAAGAACGTTAGGGAAAAGTCAAAAGCAGGTTTTGATGCATCTGTCCTGCTGGGAGGCCTCCTGTCCTGGATCCTGGTGAGGCCCAGAGGGCATCAAGGGGAACCAGCCACCCCAGAAAGGGAGTGTTCAGGCCTCTCACAGGGGTGCAGGTCTGTGTACCCGGAGGTAGAGCTGAGACCCATGCAGAGGTGCCAGAGGCTTCAGCCTCAGCAAGAGAAAGGATGTCCTAGGGCGGGACTCCCACTTCCCACGGCCTGTGCAGCAGAAAGTCCCCTGACCTCTGAATTGGGTCCCTGGGGCCCCAGGATGTTGCTGCTCTTGGTCGCACTTCATGGCCCTGGCTGGGCCACTCTCCTTTCCTCCAGTGCCCCACTTGTTTAGTCTCCTCCAAGAGAACACAGCCCCAAACAGGGCTGTAGACCCTGCATGTGGTGGAGGCTCTGCAAGTCTTTGCTGGCCAGTGAGTGGATGGACAGGTACGAGGTGCAAGCGCAGGGCTACTTTCAGATCAGAATCACGCACCCTGGACAGCAGAACCAGCAGTCCCATCAGCAAAGCGCCGAGTGTGCACCACAAGAAAGGTCCAAGGATGTGCTGGAAGCTGCTCAGATGTCCACCCACAGGACACATGGACGGCTGTGGTACACTCAGGGGAACAGCATGCAGCAGCCAGACAAACCACAGCCACCTGAGTCAACAGACACAGCCCAGAAGACACCGAGGAGGCAGCAACTCCATGACCAGGGGTGCAAGAAGCCAGGCCTGCCCTGGGGGAGGGAGGTAGCCGAGGATGGCCAGGGCCTCAGGTGTGCCTGGATCTGGGGGCTGGCGACCCTGGGTGTTCCCACTGAGAGAGACCATCAAGCTATGCACGCTGGCGGTGCGCTTTCCGGCATGCCTGTTATGCTCCAGAAAACCTACTCCAGGAGAAAAGGGGATGGAGCAGAGCCGCGCCATGGGAAGTGATGGGATCCAAGGCAGGCTCCTTCCTGTCCCTGAGCTCTGGTTTTCCTGTGAGTGGGTTTAAGATAATCTGTACTCCAGGACTGCTGAGGGCATCAATGGGAGTGACAGTGGCACACTGCATGGGCCACCAGCAGAGTAGGCCACAGGTGCCCCAGTGCTCATCATTGCCAGGGACAAAATGGCCACCAGGAGTATTTCATCCAGGGGTGGTGTAAACAGAGTGTAGGGAATCAAGGACACTCCCGGGACAGGCTGGGCCAGGATCTCTAATGTGTCCCTGCAGCAGGGTGCAGAGATCCCAGCATCCTGTGCCCACCCACCCTGCAGCACTGGCTCTGCCTATCCACCCTCCTCCACTAGCCCATATGGTTACCATGGCAACCGGGGACCAACAGGATAGGGAGGAGTGGGAAGGGGTGGGAGCTGGCTCCATGCTTGCTGCAGAAGACTCTGGGTGCGCAGGCGCAGCAAACAAAGCTGGTCTGCAGTTAGTTCTCCATGGGGCGGGGCTCCGTGATTGTGCTCCCAGCCCGCCCCCTGCAGGCCGTCCTCTGCACTGCAGCCTGGTGAGCTATAAAAAGTGCCCTGTGTAGAGGGATTCTGGGCAGGTCTTGGCCCTCCACATACTGCACCAAATGCTACCCGGGAAAGGCACTATGTTAATGCCATGTCACATATGTCACACACTGTCACACCCTGGGTCACAGGTATCTGGAACCCCCTTCCCATAATACAGGTGCTAGTCCTTCCCCTTGGGGTGTCCACAGTACACAGCTTTCCTCGCTATCCTGTGGGCAGATGTTACTCTCCTTTTGCAGCCCCCACTGGCCCTCTGTTCTTCCCACCATCAGAGCACTGGTGACTCTGTACAACACTGGCCATGATGTCTGCCTGTTCCATAAGACAGGGGGGCTTCCTAAGGACAGTGGCCAGCTCTGGGTCACTTCTATGCTGCAATGCTGGGGCAAAGGGCGCTTGCACATGGCTCACCGTGGGTGCACAGTGCTCCTGTGGGACTCAACCCCCCCACATCTTCAAGAGCAGCTGCAGACAGCCCTGCCCCTCCTGTTCCAAACTCGTCAGTCCTGGGCCCAGGCTCCTCTTCCCCAAGGAGGGCTCACATCTCTCACTTCTCTTATGTGCCATCTCTGCCAACCCTCTCTCCCCTCACCAGGCCTCTCCAGGGCACACAGACCTGACCTCCCCTCTGCCTCCTGACCAGAGCTGCCACCTCTCCTGAAATGGAAGACAAGAATGCCTCCCAGTGCCCTGGCCTCTCCACAGCCTGTGGCCACAGTAGCCTTTGCCTTGAGGAAAAGACCAACATTTCACAAAAAGAACTTTTTGCAACCTGACTCCAGCAGACACCAACAGGCTGGAGGGCTAGGGACAGAGGCTGGGGCCCAGAGCTTTTCTACCCCAGCTACTCCCTGCTGGGCAGACAAGGACTTCCACCTCCTAAGTGTGATTATGGGAGAGAAGGTCCCATCCCCCAGGGCCATGCTGAGGCTGGAGCAGGGAGCACCCACAGCAAGAGTCACCCTTATGAGGAAGAGCCAGACACCAGCTGTGTCCTGCCAAGGGCATCTCTGTGGTCAGTCACATCACCCAAGCCTTCCAGCCACCCAGGGGTGCATGACAGCAGGGCCCCACCCTTATGGAATAAGAGCCTGAGCCTAAGAGGTGACTAGAAGTGTCACCCAACAATTAGGGGGCTAAGCTGGTCTAGGCAGCTGGCTTAGACTGCCTGCCAGACAGCACAGGTGAGGTGGCTGGACTGAGAGGTCCCACAAACAACACCTGCTGGATGGCCCCACCAATCAGGCCTCCTCCTCACCACCCCCCACCACTGAAACTGCTCTGCCAGGCCTCTACACCCTCCCTGTCCCCAGTCCCATCACTGGCCATGCCACCTCTCCAGGCCCTTCCCCACTTGGCTCTTCTGCTTCTCTGGCCAATAGTCTCCTGCTGGTCCCTCCAAGGCCAGCCTGGCAGGAAGGCACGTCAGCTCCTTTGCCCTGGCTCCCAGGCCTGTCCACTGGCCGGTCCTGCATGTATTCGGGCTCTCAGAGCAGATGCGAGGCCGGCAAGGGCTGCGACTGGCTGCCTGGGCTGCGAGCGTTGGCTCAGCAGCGGGCCCGGCTCCACAGCCCCCTCTGGCTTGCCCGATGTCCACCCTGCCAGGCTGCGAGGCGCCTGTGTTCCGCCTAGGGACACGCGGGCGGCCCTGCCCACAGTGGGTAGGCCCAGGACACTGGGCTCAGGCCTCGGCACTGCCATTTGTTCCCTCGCAGTGAGAGGCTGGGCACTCCTCAAAGCTGCAGTGGTGCGGACATCACTGCCTCAGCCGTCCTGGCACCCGCGACTGCCCCAGCCCCGACAGGCGTCCTTCTGGCCTGCACAGGCCTCCCACGGGTCACCCACCTTCCTGCCCTCGCCGCCCTCGCTGCCGGCGTAGGCCAGCTTCCTGCGCACGTAGAAGAGCATGTCGTCCTGCCGCGGGGCCCACTTCTCCATGAAGTAGGTGGAGAACATCCAGGTCCAGAAGACGATGCGGTCATCCTTGAAGCACCCTGCAGGGGGAGGCCCGAGCCGTGAGCGGCCGCCCAGCCCAGGCCGCTGACCCTCCGCCCAGCACCCGCCCGCCCGCCTGCCAGGCACCCGAGAGGCTGGGGCGCCCCCCGGAGGCCGGCTCCTGCGGCTCCTTGTCCCCCACAACCGATCCATCGCGTTGTGAGTCAGACAGCAGCTGGGCAGCCGGTCCCAGGGAGCCTGGAGGACCGAGTCGAGGCTCTGGAGGCGGCATCAGGCATCCCCGCTGCCACCACCGCTGCGGAGTCCCCACCTCCACCCGCCCGCCCGAGCTGCTGCGGCAATTCCCACCGAGAATCCGACTTAAAGGGACAGCCGCCCTTTGCCAGCTGCTTCCCAGGCAAACAGGAGCCCTGCGCAGGTTGCTTATTAAATTCTTGCACAGACTTCATTACAGAGGGTATTTCTTTTTGATAAATATTTGTCATCTTTTTTTGCACAAGAAGAAAAAGCCCACAGGTTTTGGTAGGAGAACTGGGTCACCATTCCAATGCGGCCACGTCATTATGTGACAGTGGACAGGTGGCTCAGCCTCTGAGCTAGGTGAACTAAACGGTGGGTGGAAAAGCCCTTCCTGGAATAGCAGGCTTGACAAGGTGGGCTTCCTCCCTCCTGGTCAGAACCAACACACCCCGTGGAGCCCTCTTCACCACTGGTGCGCTAGCTGTTGCTGTCCCCTCCCACCCCAGTGCCACTCTGATCTAGGCCTAGTACTGTGCTGCTGGAAGGACCCAGTCCATGCTCTTAGACATGGAGAACCTAAGGGCCAGTGGGACCGTCTCCCAGCCTCACTGGCTGTCAGTGGCATGAGCAGGACCTGCCCAGGTCCCACCTCCCGAAGGTCAGCCATGATGCTAAGACCCCAGCAGAGAGCCCCAGCCACACCACTAGCCAGAGAACCAGGGCTCAAGACCAGCCCTGGCGTGGCCAGCTCCCACACCCTGCCTGGCCTGGCCTCCAGACATAGGAGCAGCAAGTAGGGAGGGTAAAGGCAGACTCCCTCAGGGAGGGGTCCAGGTCAGTGAGCCTCGTCAGCCTCAGGAGCACAGGCCAGGAGACCCCACAGCACAGGCAGCTGCCCAGGCTCAAAAGGACCAGGTAGAACCAATGTCTGTGACATCTAACCCCTTTGAATTCCTGCCCCACTTTCCCGACATGCAACGCACAGTCCACCCCACCAGAGCCCTGCGAAAGTAGGCAAAGGCAGGATAGCTGTTCCTGGACTAACCTCTGGCCCTTTAAACACAGGATGGGTCTTTTTTTCTTTCTGTATTAGAGATTGAGCCCAGGTGCTCTGCCAATGAGCTACACACCCCCGGCCTTTTTCTTGCTAATTAGCTGGGGCTAAGGGTGTAGCTCAGTGGTAGAGCGCCTCTGTGTTCAACCCTCAATAGCCACTCCCCAAATTATGAAGGTGGCACCCCGGTTCACAGAGCTGGAGACAGATCTGCCAGGTGCCACACTCAGACTCCTGGGAAATCTCGGTGCTCAGCAACCTGTTGAACCTGAGACGGGTCCAAAAACGCACTCAGCAGGCAGCTGCAGCCCCAGGGGTGCAGGCAGGATTGGCAGGATCAGGGGAGTCTGGGGCCTGGCACCTCCTGCTGCTGGTGGCTCTCCAGGAATCTCCAAGCCCAGCAGGATCCAGCAGGTCCCATCCCTGCTTGCAGCCAATCTCCTTGGGCTCCAGGAATCAGGCAGCTGAAGCAGGCTACCTGCCTATGGGGACTCCCAGCAGCGTGGCTGGGCACACACAGGGTTCTGGAGCACAGGGTGGCTGACCACACCCTGGGGTCAGCAGGCCACAGTGCTGTGTGCCAGGCCCCAAGCTGGTCCTGCCCCTAAGCACCCCTGCAGCACACGTCCCAGCAGTCGTGAGACCATCAGAAAGTCTAGCAGGCGACACCCCCTGCCAACACCTCGTGTAAACCAGCCTCTGATTCTACCCCATGGCCAGGCTGCCCCCTGCAGCTGTTGGAACTTTACTTCAAGCCCTCTCCTGCCTTCTCCCTAGGGCCTTCCCATCAAATCAGGAAAAAGTCCAGAGTCCTTCCTAAGCACTCCATGTCAGCCCCCTTGGCCACCTCTCCCTGGCCACGCTGGCTGCCCACAGTGCCGTACACACTCCCTTTAGGGCCAGGATACAGGCTCCTCCTCCTCCTCCAGCCCCTCCCCATCCCTCCAGGTTTGGCTTAGATGTCACCTAAGATGTTTAACAGAGACCCCCGGCCCCTGTTAAACATATCCACAGGGACCCCCTATCTTGCTTTGCTGCCATCAGAGCCTTATCACGACCTGGCATTCCACACCCATGCACTGACACGAAGGCGTTCCCAGAGGAGGAACAAACTATTAGATCTCAGTACCCAGATCAGCACCACGCACACAGCAAGCATTCAATAAATGCAGGCTGAATACATGCAGTACCCAACCAGACCAGAGAAGAGTGCGGGCCATGGGCTACAGCCCTTTTAGCCTTAGGGTTTCTGACTTGTGAGCTTCCAAAGAAGCCCCGATTCTCACACAGGTGCCAGGGCTGAGCCTCGCTTCTCTGCCCTTCTGGGCTCGGGAGTTGCAGCACCCGCTGTGTTGAAGGTGCAGGCCCACGTCACAGTCCACTACCTTCCCTCTGCTGCCGCCGCGGGCCAGGCAGGTGCGGGCCAGGAGAGCCCGAGCCAATGAGCTCCAAGAACCCAGGGCTGTCGGCAGTGGGACGCAGCCCAGCATCACCAGCACTGTTCTGAGCCAGCCTGCCAGGGACACACAGGCCTCCACTGCCCAGCAATTAGTCCCCTGGGTCCAGCCCCAGGGGCTGCCCTCCAGAGGGAGCCTCCTAGTCTCCAGAACCCACCGTCCTGTCTACCTGCATTCAGCAGCTTTCTCGTTGCTGTGACCAGAAGACCTGACAAGATCAATTTTAAGGATGAGAAGTTCTAAGGTTCATGGTTTCAGAGGCTCAGTCCACACACAGCTCCATTCTTTGGGGTATGAGGTGGGGCAGGACATCATGGCGGAAATGTGTGGCTGAGGAAAGCAGCTGGGAAGGTGGCACCCAGGAAGCAGCTCCGCTCACAGGCACCACAGGCACCTCCTGGGTGACCCACCTCCTCCAGCCACACCCCCCTGCCTACAGTCACCACCCAGCTAATCCCTGTCAGGGGATCAATGCACTGAGAGGCTCAGGCTCTGCCGCTTCACCTCTGCGCCTCTTGCATCTCCACCCCAGTATCGACACCATGGCCCCTGCCACCTGGCTGGAGGGAACGCCACCTTGGAATCCAGGGGATGGACTCCTGGAGCAGATGCAGCCCCTGAAGCTGAGACAGACTTACTCAGGCAGCACCACGGACAGCTGCGCTCCACGTGGCAGGCTCGGGGCTGGGGTCCTAAGGGGCTGTGTCCCACAACAGAGCCTCTAGCACTGAATGAGCACACAGGACCCTGCTCCTGGGGGCAATACTGGGCAGGCTCCAGGAGCCTCTGGTCACTATGCCATCACCAGTGACCACTCATGGCCTCAAGGCAGGTTTCTGTCCAGAGGCCTCAACTGAACGCAGCCTGAAGGAAGCTCACTGAACACACCTCTGTGACACATGGCCCGGCCCTCCTGTGCTGGGCCAGGCAGTATCTGGGCACTGCACTGGGCAGCACCATGAGTCACCCACAAAAAGCAGGAGGTGTGAGTCCCACGGCACCACGTGGGCCCACAGACTCAGATCTACAGGCAGGACACAGGTCTCCTCCTGCACCCTTCGCTGGGAACCGGTATGCAGGGGACACATTTTCCAAATGTCCACCACTAACCACAAAAGTGTGCCCACTACTGATTTGGGGTTAGAGATAATTTCAGCAAAGGGGCGAATTCACAAACACAGAGTCCATGAGCAACAAGTACTGGCTGCATCAGGACTGACCCTGCCAGCTCCAGCTGGGAACACAAGGCCCAGCCGTGCCCCCCCACCCCAGCCAGGGGTCTGCCCGAGTCGCTCGCTGGATCACAGACCTGCAGGCCCCCCACAGACCAGCAGCTCAGGGAGGAGTGGGTGAGGCTCATAGCGGGGCATGCTGCCAGGCCTCCCTCATCTGGGGTGCTCTCTGCTGCTGCTGTCTCATCCTGCAGGACACTGAGCGGGGGGACAGGGAGCCCAGCTGCTCAGCAGGACTGGTGTGAGCAAGGCAGAGCAGTGACAGTGGCTGGCGGGACTCCTGTCAATCACTGCACCCTCGAGGCAACATTATGGGGTGAGGGAGGCCCTGGGCTCAATAGAAACTCGGTCTTCATTCCAGAGATAAAGCAACCTGGGAATGGAGAGACTCAGGGGAGATTCAGAGCTGGGACCTGAAGTGTGGCAGACATGTGCTTCCCAGGCCCACACATGGCACTGCAGGCTGAACGGCTGGGAAGGCAGCCCAGGTCCCTTCACTGAGCCCCAGCCCTGCCCTCCCCAACACAACACATGGGGGTGGCTCACAGTGGGCCTCTCAGGCCAGCCAGGAGGACACCCGCCTTGACCATGGGTGCTGTGGGGACCACTTCCCGCAGAGTGCCAAGTAAGCACCAATAATGACCCATAGAGAGACCCCTCAAGTGTACCTGACCAGAAAGGGACCTCTGCACCTCTCAGGGCTTTTCACAATACCAGCGCAGGCTGCAGAGGCTCCGTTAGACCAGGAGCGAGAAGAGACTTGGCCCACACTGTTGACCCAGCACTGCCAGCAAGCCTCCAGGGAGAGCAGGGAGACCGCAGGAGGGGCTGGGCAGAGCATGGGCCCGGTGAGCGCTCCTGGACAGACAACCACTCCGTGGCTAAGTTAACCACTGGGCTGCTTTCCACCAGCTGGACCTTTGGAAAACCCGAGGACTGGGTCTCAGGAGCACTGCTTGAGACCTCTCCCAGGCCATCTGGACCACTAACCCACAAGGTTCCAGCCAGCTGTGCTAAGGCCATCAGAAAGGACGGCCGTGTATTCAGGGGAAAAC